GTTTTTCAGAAATGTGTTACCGACCCTTTTGCTTTTAAGTCTACCTACCGTTACACTGCCTTACCCGGGTTAAAGGGTCCGTTGACGTTCCTGGGGTGGCTGACACTTTCTAGCCACTTACTTCAATACTTTCTACACCCGTTTCCGATATCAATGACCTCTGGCCTGGCTGCTACAACCACCAATTAAGTTCCGTGCTGTTTCTCGGTATGCGGACGTTTCTGTAGCTAAACGTTTCGTGGCTTCCGCGCGCATACCTAACATAAGGGCTTCTTGCTCAAGCGAAGGAGGAATACGGCGTTTCTTTATAAGCTTGCAAGAGTAAGTGAAACCGTTGGAAGTTTCATGGATTACATCTCTAAGACAAACACGACCTAGCTCTTCGGTGCGTCTCCTAGGACACAACGTCCCAAACGTAGTCACTCTCCATGTGACTTGCTGTTTAAGTCCCGTACCCACCTTTGCTCTTGTCCTCTCACCAGCCTCCGACTAAAACAACCCGCGTGGAAATAGTTGCTGCTTGACGGGACTCGCGGCAGGCGTGTAGAAGTGAAGGTACATTTGGATGTGTAGAGAAGAAGAGATGTTTCCAGGTAGCATTTGAGGGGTAGGCGTCCACCTCGAGGAGTTGAGGGTCGGAAATGGAGACTTGGATGAATTGAGAGTGGCATAGGTGAACTGCGCAACCCCATATCATGCATCGGATTTCGATTGGAAACCTCTTGAATCGAGGGAAGTACTGTAGGACTGTGTTGTTGCGTAATTGAGTCTCCATTGAGGCAGGAGGTATTGTTGATATTTGGTAAAGTTCGAAGATGTGAAATAGTTTTTGCAAGGGGACGCGACGCGTCCGCCTCGGTCCGTCTCGGTCGGAAAGCAGTTCCAGGCGAGTTGTAACCGATTTCCAAGGTCAATGCACACCCCAAGCGAATGCACACCCCAAATTTTCAGCCCACCTCGGACTTAATTAATTAATTATTAAATAACCACACTATTAATCGGTCTAAAATTAAAGATATAGAGTAATTGAACTAGGCGCATTAAGTTGGCTAACCAGGATTTTTTATTTTCTAAGACGTTGAGGTAAAATAATCTCCCTTCCTGATCGGGAAGTCTGCACCACCCCTATAGCTTCAGAATCGTCCTCTTCCACGATTACCGCTTCCTGAGCCCCTAAATTCGATAAAATCGAAGACCCTACCCTCAATATTACTATACGGGACGGTTTGGCTTTCTTAGCAGCATTTCTAGCTGCCGTAGCTGCCTTTCTTGCTGCTGCTCTCTCCAAAACCTCCATTTTATACTTCTCCCTCTTTACTCCATCGTCAATCTCTTTTTGCTTCGCCTTCCTTACCTTCTCTACCTCCTTCTCCTGCTTTTCCAAGGCATCTTTTATCGCTTTAGTAATCTTTGCATCCTCCTTTGCCTTCTGCTTATCCAATTTTTCTTGTTCTGCCTTCGCAGCCTTCGTCTCCTCAAATGCTATTGCAGCTAGTACTTCAGCTGTTCCAAAGAACTGGGCCTTTCCTGCAGGCTCTCCTGTCAAATTGAGCTTTTTCCCTCGACGTCTCTTCTTCTTTTCAAGCTATAAAGCTTCTTTCAAACCCTCTGCGCGGTGCTCTGCAATGGAAGCCTTTGCTGCATTTGATTCGTTCGCTTTGGTGAGCTTGCGAAAGGCCGCTTTGGATGGGTTCTTTGCATAGATTTTCGAGAATTGCCGCATACGTTTTATAGTATAAGAAGTCGCAATTGCGTTGAGAGGAGCTTCAGGAGGAGTTTGTGGCCTTAATGGGGCGATAGCTAAAAGGATAATTAATGGTTAGTATGGCCATATACCCGTCTTCTTCCAAGCGGATAAAATATTCGATTCAGACATACTTTTGTCCCAAGCAGGCTTAAAAACAGACCAAAATGTCCTTTTTATTAAAGAAGAAATGCCCTTACTAGTATCCAAAAGCCTATTAATCTCGGTAGAATAACAAGTAGAAAGTGGTAAAAAGCAGCCCATGTCAAGAGGTTAAAGACGGTGTGTCGAATGCGGAGGTAAAATAAGAAGCAGAATTTTAAGGCGATCGTATGTCCGTATAAACTTCATATTAACGTGGCTAGAATGCCTATCTACGATCAAAAGCCTCCTCCCATGTCCTGCTTTCGTACGAGTAGCGGGATCAAAAACCTGGGTAAGATATGCCATACCAAGGGTATTAGATGACCATCCATTCGTACTAGACGTAAACCAGGCATGTTCTCTCTCTTTTAAATCGTCTAACCAGCTATCCTGAAGGTCTCCAGAGACTCCTTTGTAAATAAGAGCTAGTGGAATCTTCGTACCATCCGTACAAATAGAGGCAAGCAAGCTAATAAACTCTCGCGAGCCATCTTGCTTTGCTACTGTGATTTTCCCACTATTATATGCTTGTTTCGTTATTATACGCTTTATCATATGTATAATTCCAATCAAAAAACCCTTCTCGTCCCAATTATATACGTTTTCTGCTGTAATATTGTAATTCTCGATCGCTTTAATTAACTAAGTGGGGGGGGGGGAACATTAGCCATTTTATCCATAAAGTAAGCAAGAAATGGATAAAATACTAAAATTAAATATTACCAAATTAAAAAAGAACTGAATATGGGGCCCATATTCCGATTTCATTCGCAGATTATCGATATTCCGCAAATAAAGGCTCTTGAGACGTATGGAGTGGCATTGGACGAAACCAGCCGTCCAGTTCTTGTTCACATCGCCTCCAATAATCTCCTCTGCGAGGTTTTTGATAATCTGTGAGGTTGGAGGAAGCCCACGCACTGTAAGCTTATTGATTTGATTAATGAGAGCCTCTTCTTGCGTATTGGTAAGAAGTTTATGGTGTAGAGAGGTTACTTCTTGTCTGGAGGCACATATCCCTTTATACCTTCGCATAAGGGTGGTACGTTCAATACCAAAATCCCTAGCAACCTGGCTATAATTGGGTATCAATTGCGCATTCAGCGCATCAATCGCTTTCTCAATATCTTGTTCGCTCACCATTTTATCGAATTTTGAAGATGGTGGGATAATTTTTGGGGGGGTGTGCATTCAGTGTGGGTGTGCATTGACCTTGGATCTCGGTTACACTAAGCCGAATAAATATATATAGCCGAGGTCCCCTTGAAGCTCAAGCTCTCAGCCCCGCACTAGCTTCCACAAGGTTCAACATCATTTCAAAATGTGATCCATCTCCCAACCCAAAGGCTAGAAACTTAAACATACTACATCATGGCCACCGATGCGCCTTGGCAAGCCATTGCACTACGAAAACAGGCACAACGACAGTCCAGGATTCCCTCCGCCTGGCTCCTCAAAACGCCTCCGTTAACTTCCACCCTCGACGTCCGTTTCATTCCTGGAACTAGTGGTATCCTGGACTCTCATGAACTCTTCATAACCGAAAACTACGATGCCACATCATTGGCAGATGCTATTCGATCTCACCAGCTCACAGCAGAGGAAGTCACAATTGCGTTCTGCAAACGGGCTGCTATAGCACAACAAGTTTGCAATTGCTTGACAGAAATCTTCTTCGACAAGGCAATTGAGCGAGCAAGGCTCCTAGATAAAGAATATGAAAGAACAGGAAAGACCTTGTAAGTATTTGGGGTGACTATGTCCATTTTCAACTGTCTTCACTGACTCCCAAACAAGTTGTGACTAGCTATTGCTAACTCATCCATTATCCAGAGGTCCATTACATGGCGTGCCAGTATCACTGAAAGATTCTTTCAATGTCGTTGGCTTTGATTCGTCCATTGGGATTGCAAGTTTGACAGGGAAACCTGCAAAGGAGAATGCTTTACTTGTCGATATTCTTCTAGAACAAGGGGCAGTGCTGTATTGCAAAACGAATATCCCCCAAACGCTTATGGCCCTGGACTCGGATAACAACGTTTTTGGAAGAGTGCTGAATCCGAGGAATAAGTTGGCGACTGCTGGTGGAAGCTCAGGTGGCGAGGGCGCGTTGGTGGCGATGAGAGGGAGTGTTTTGGGAGTCGGTACCGATGTTGGAGGTAGTATTCGGATTCCTGCTATGTGTGGCGGACTGTACGGGATTAAGCCAAGCGCGGAGAGAATTCCTTACGTGGGGCAGGAGAATGGGAGTAGGAAGGGAGCAAGCAACATTGGTTTGCCCGCCAGCGCGGGCCCCATCGCTGTGAGCTTGAGGGATTGCGAACTGTTTCTGAAAACTGTCTCCGACGCCAGGCCATGGGAACGAGATCCAAGTCTTGCATATGGATTATGGTCAGAGCAAGGCTCAATCGAGAGGCAGCCATTGCTCGGAGTCATCAGACAGGACGGCGTGATCACACCTCTCCCACCAGTTAGCAAGGCACTGGATGAGACAGTAAAATCTCTCCGCAATTCCGGTCTCGAAGTCATCGAAATCGATGCCCCTGCCTTCAAAAAGTGCCAGTCACTAGCAAACAAATTCTTTGGCATTGACGGTGGAAACCACATGTTCGATCTCCTGGAGGCTACCAAAGAACCCCTGACTACCTGGCTCAGCACACGCCTGCGCCGCGGAACACCCATTTCTCTTGACAGACTCGTCGATATCCATGCGCAGAAGGTGGAGCTTGAGACAGAGATGCTGAAGGTATGGCGAGATCCGAGGACGGGAAGGCAAATCGATGCATTTATCTGCCCTGTTGCACCGCATCCCGTACCGCCCATCGATCGTTGGAATGGTGTTAGTTACACAAGTAGTTTTGTACTGTTGGACTACCCAGCGGGCACGTTACCTGTTAGGGACTTCAGTGAGGAGGATTTGAACTGTGTGTTGAGTAACAGTAAGCCTTTAGGCAGCTGGGATAAGATTAACAGAGAGTTGTGTAGGTGATGTCTTTGCAGATTAAAGCCCTGTGGGAGAGCTAATTGTGTGCAGGGGACGAAAAGACCGTCGATAGGAGGATCTACCTTAATACCACATTATCTGTTCAAGTCGTGGCGCCCAAACTGCAGGAAAGACGATTATATCAAGCCATGTCACTCATCGATAGTATCCTTCAAATGAAGTCCATCGGAAGAGCGAAGCTTTGAGGGAGAAAATAGTGTAGATGATTTATGGCATTAGTCTTGTCACTTTTCAGTCCCCTGAAGTGTTCCAGACTCGATGAGTGATTCGGAACGTGAGTGTGTTTGGACGAGAGTCGACGGCAAGGCGTGCGTGACCACGATAAGTCTTCCGTCCCGAAGATAACTCTGTATTTTGGTCACTGATGTGCAGATATGAGAAACCCAAGAGCCCAGTACATGTGTGTGACTTGAAGATGCTATGTTCAATCTGATACTATACAGTGCACGTACGAACAATGTACACCTATTGACTCGCACGTCCTCAGTCAGGTAGTGGAAGGTGCCACCGCTCAAGGCTCTGGTTTTCTCTCACACCTTACACTTCACATCACATCACCAAACTTCATCAATCTCGCATTGTCCGTCCATTCACAATCTGCCCTCGCCTCGCGACCGACCCCGCCAAACCTCGCCTGCTCAATCAGCCGTCGTCCTCGCTATCAACCGCTGCCTCCTCAGTCAATCATCGCATGTTGCTAGGCCACAATCGCTTTCTTTATTCTTCTCGAAGCTTACGAATCATTTTGCAGCTTCCTCGCTACCCACTGCGGATTTCTGAAACCTCCCAGCAGCGATTGCCTCTTAATGGTCAACAACTGCATATCAGGCGAGATTGGATCTGTTGCGACAAAGCGGATCCTGCTACCATTGCCTCGATAACTCGGTGTTCGAGAAGTTTGTGGAACAGGCGTATATTTTGTGTTGTTTCATCTCCAAAATAGATCGGAGAGTCAGCCGGGACTCCAGCTTAGATCAAATGTTGGGGAACTCGAATGGCCAATGGTGGCGTTGCTCAACCGCTGTACAACTTCAACATGCCCAGCTTCCTCAGCCAGTGCAAGTGGGGTCTTATTTTGAAGGTAAACACGATCCACTTCAGCGCCGTTGTCCAACAGAAGGCAAACAATATCCAGCGAGCCAGACATGGCCGCCGCTTGAAGAGGGGTAAAAGGCAGTGGCATCAACGGCTTAGGGTCGACATGAGAACCGCATTCTATCAGAAATCTGATATATTGCAAAGAGCAACCTCCAAGTATCGATGCACCGAGGACCGTCTGGCCGCTCAGGTCTCGATTATTCAGATGATACTGCGTACATTGGCCTGAGGTCTCTCCTAGTCTGCGCAAAATACCACGACCGAGTCCTTCCATTCTGAGAGACGATGCCATATAGAACGGTGATTGGCCATAGATATCCCTCGCTTCAAGGGCCTCGACAGGTAGAACACGAAGGAAATCCATGACCGTGTCAATTCCACCTAGAATTGGTGGTACATCCTGCGTTATGCTCGTTCCTGGAAAAATTCCTTTGTGAAATGGGCTGCCTGATACTGTGGATGCGAAAGGACTCTGCATCATACACTGCAACGGAGGTAACGGTGATACGAGGTGAGACGGAATAAAACCATCCACTGTGGATTGGATGGACTTCGAAATGTCACTGCACGTTCTCGGAAGTGATCTGGCTAGACTTTTCAGTAAGTCCAAGTCGGATGGCAGGGCCTGTCCTGGAACATCGCGCAAACTGAGAGCCTCCCATACGAGACTCTCAGCACGGATGTGCTCCCCTGTGCTCCAAAGCATGTCGGCCAATTTTTTCAATAGGCTCTTAGTCTCATGAAATGCCTTGATGTCCAGCTTCCAGAACTCGCGATAAGCATTCAAAATACGATTGTAGGCTGCCTCTGCAATCTCGGTTTCCCCGCAGCCCGCCAAACGGTCTGCCAAAACCTCAGCCTGAGCCGGCATCAATGTAAGAATACGCACGTTCGCATTCCTGGAAGAGAATAATTCGGCATTTATGTTTTCGTCTCGGTGTAAACCCGGAATCGAATAATCTAAAGCGACTTGTAACTTCATCGTCGCCTCGACTTGCATTTCTAAAACTCTCAACCTACGAATCAATCAGCGATATTCGATCACCGAATTGAGGGGCACTATGCTGACCTTCTCCGTAGCTCCTGCTTGAGCTCTGGCATATCTTTCGGAACTTCGATTTGTTGTGGAACAGAAGCAGGAGTAGCATCGACCCTGCTGCCAGGTCGTCTAGGAGCTCGAGAACGTGGAGGAGGGTATTCGTGTGGCCCGCATTCATGATTGAACTGCGTGCATCTTTCACACTTGTCTTGTCGTCCACCCGTAATCCAAGTGCGATTTACTGGCACACACTGAGAGTGTTACTTAACTAGGCCTTCAAGCCTTGGGACAGAGAAATGGCCTACTTTCTGCTTGCTGCCTCTGCACACCGGGCACATCGGAACCCCAGGCATCGCGATTGCATTTCAGGTCGTTCCCGTGGCCGAAGCCAAAGATTTTGACCAGGCTGGCGCAGCCCTAATTAATGCATTATCGGCACGAAATCAATGAAGCTCTTGTCAACCTGGTCGTTGTCTGCGCCGGTTAGACCTTGCTCGGATTCGAATTGGACTCGACCTCAATGTTCGAAAATGGTGCGTTTTCCAAGATGAAAACATGGATGAAGACATTATGAAATCACTTCGCCCGCCAAATAATACGCAATCGACGAGGCTCTATGGTCGCCTCGTTCTAGGCAGACGGGAGGCCGCAGTTGGTTCGGGGAGCGGATGCATACCCCCACGGGTGCGATGGCGCATTGCGATCGGGTGCGATCTCAGTGCGAGCGGGCTGCGAGCGGTTGCGAACTTGCAGGGTTCTGACGCAAGGGAATCAACCTGCAGCAAGGCTGTGACGGACTCTTCTAATCTTGGAAGCCAGGCTGCCTGCGAGGCTTCCCTATATCTTACACTCGGTGAGACTCGGTGAGAGCACGTTTGAGACGGCATGGACCATGATCGCTTCCGTGAGCCTCCAATTTCCAAAGTTATTGATATCGATCATCACCAAATGTACTAAGCAAGACTCAGCAGGCTAAAACTTCAGTATCCAACACTACGCAGCCATGACTTTTGGCCAGACGGAAGAGTATGAGTGGCAGAACTGTACGGTAGATTGGGACTTGGTGTCGTGCGATTCCGGAATGGATCTTGGGATTGATAGGTAATGAAAATGCTCTAACTGAATTCTTTTGCTAATTGGGTTCATTACTCCAGGCCGGTCATAGAATCACTATACCACCTCTCATACCTCGATTCGATCTGTAAAGATGATTCGAGTTTAAATCTACCTCAGACAAGTTCAATGTACGCAACTGCTGGCTCCGATTGCTCCACTCGTGCCTACTCTATTGACGAAGTTGTTCGCGGCTTCTGGGATATATTTCAATCAAGTAGCCCCAGTAGTCCAACAGAGGTTCTGAGCAAGAAACATTGGACGGATTTCGAACTTCATGGAGATCCGTTTCCCGCTCCGTCCTGTGGTCTATGTGTACTTGGAAATTTGCAAGCTTCTTCAAGGGAGGATTGTCCCGGTGGACGTCCCATCCCCAGCACTCCAGATAGATGCCAGAAACATCATAAACACCCTAACAGTGTCTGGGGCAATTGTCGTTCTACTAGGACTTTAATATCAAGGAGTAGCGAATCGTTCGAGGGAACTGGCCGTTGGTTCCTGGACCACGAACGTTATAACCAGTGGCTTACTCAACCAGGTTCTTTCCTCTGGCTATGTGGGCGCCCAGGAGCTGGAAAGTCAGTCTTGATGTCCACAGTCATTCGTGATCTCGAGAAGACCCGGCGGGCCGGGGAGCTCGTTGTGTATTACTTTGCAAATGGGTACTACCGCGGTGTCAGTACTGCAAAAGCCATACTTTGCTCCATGTTGGGGCAACTTCTATTTCGGAAGCCCGTTCGAAACTCTTTCGCCGAGGTTTTGCCTCTACTAAACGACGTTATTGCTGCTGGAAGTTCACTCTCTCTCACAAGTATAGCCTGGCTATTTTCGAAGATCAGACACAAATTGCGAAGTCATGAGACTCTATACCTACTTCTGGATGGCTTAGATGAAGTATCTGACAGCCCGTCAGAGCGGGAGCTTGTGCTCGAACTCATCGATCAAGCAAGCCGCCACGATCCGAATCATCAAATTAAATGCTTCATCTCATCACGATCAACATTCTTCGGGGCCAGACTCCCAAAGGGCGCTCTACGAGTTGATTTGGACTCTCACCCGCTGACTCGGAATGACATGAGCCTATACGTTCAGGACAGCCTGCACAAACTTGTGTTTACTCACCCTTCACGAGATATCAAGGATCTGGAGGAACGAGTATTAAACTCAGCATCGGGGTCTTTCTTGCTCTTACGTTTGATATTGCAGCAAGCTGGACCTGGTGCCTCGAACAGCAGGGCGGATTTCAAGGACCTTCTTGTTAGATTGAGCGATTTCAGTGACATCGAACTTGGCGGAATCTATGGTGGAATGCTGGCGGGAATTGAGAACTCTAACAAGGAAGCTGCGCTGTCGATGTTGCGATGGGTAACATTCGCGGCTCGTCCCTTGGAGTTGCACGAGCTTCTCGCGCTATACAAACAGACTGGTGTCGAGATCAAGGAGGAAGATATCAGCACAATCTCCGCCGGACTTCTGATCAACAGTGGGAATCAAATACGGTTCGCTCACCTTAGCGTGCGTGAGTATTTCGAGTCCCACCTGAGTGAGAAATGGGAAGCGCTCTCAGACGAGGCAAACGAGATGATCGCTCATACCTGTCTCAAGCTTATTCCAACGCAAGATCTTCTGCAAAGCTTGGGTTTGGCAAGCGAAAAGTACGCATCGACTGAGAGTACGACTACCTTAGATTTTGTACCTTATGCTCGCATTCACTGGATGTTTCATTACAAGCGTGCTGAGCGACGCAGCACATACCTTGCTGGGCTCCTACATGATACTTTGGAGAATAGTCTCAAGATTTCCAGGAAGCACGGACTAGGACCGGGGATGGAGAACTCCACAAAAAGCGCATTTGAAAAATTCTCAGGCGCGGAGAATTTACAGCTCGATTTTGAACAGCACAATTTCGAATCTCCCAACGTTGTGAATATTGCTTTAGCAGTCAGCGCTGAATTTGGATTTAGCAAGCTTGCAGAATTGGAACTGGATATGGGCGCGGACCCCAATGTTTCGTCCGGGCCAGGGCAACAAACTCCGCTTTGCTTGGCTGCGAAATGGGGCCATTTAGAAGTTGTCAAACTCCTGCTACACCGAGGCGCAGACCCCTTCATGGCGAGCTGGTCGGGGCTGACACCCGTGGCTTACGCAATGGCCAATGGACACTACGAGATACGGCAGTTGCTGGTGAGCCATCCAGCGAAAGGGTTGTGGAGAAGCAACGTTTATGAGGAATGGAGCGGTGACCAAAATGCTACTCAAGCAATGTGGTTGACTACTTCATTATCACCATCATGTACTTCTTGTTCTGATTACTGGATCAATTATGAGGTGAGTAGAAAAACCGGAAACAAAATGGGCAAGAAGGATACTGATGCATTTAAAGCTCCGCGCGGTGCCAGAAATCTGTGAGAATACAGGTAAAGTCCTCCCTCCGATCATGGTAAGCGGTGAGACCATATCAGAGAGCGAACTCCAGCTCTCCATCAACTCTCCGAGTCTCGAAAAGTCCAGGATAGTTTCGACAGTCGTTAGATGGTATCCTGGAGTACCCATGTATCGGGTCTTGAAGTCAGTCTCTAAACGTGGTATCGACGATGTCAGAAAGCTGCTACTTGCCGCAGGCAATGATAAAGACAGGTTGGGCGTGGTAATTTCAGTGAGCAAGCTCTTGGCAAAATCGACGCTTTAACGACACTCCAGGATTACCGGTTTGGACCTTCCCCCATAGGGAGTTCGTGAAAGCGATGTGGCTAAATTTTTTACATAGTCTGGCTGGTCCGTGCCATAGAAGTTACTATGTAAAATACTTGGCCAAATCGCCTTCACGAACCCAGCGGAGGTAGGAAGGGGTATGTTTTTAGAGAGCTGTAATTGCTTTTTGGAAATAGAATTCGATTGTGACAACTAGGGAATTTGGAATGCGACTGCTATTGCCTTGGCAAATCGTATCGCTCTATTCATGGATTCAGAGACTTGCTCATAGCGAGGTACTCAAATCATCGTTGACAAGAATAGACCCATAATTGTTGCGGCCAGAGGTATCGGGATGGCGATCACCCCGATCGGGAACCGGGGGCGTGCGAAAACCCCCCGTTCGTGTGCGGGTCGCAAGACTCGCAACTAAACATCACGACTTAAAGCGAGACTGTGTCTTACTATTCAGCTCCGTATCCTGACATTTTGATCTTCTCGAAATTCAAACGGTGTGATTATCACACCCTGTTGCGCCGACCCGTTCTGCTAGCCCACTCAAACGATTTACCGCTGACAAAGCGAGGTTCCACGTGATGCCTCCTCGAAAAGTTGCAATACCATTTTGCCGGCACCAATTGGCGATCTAGTATGTTGCTCTCCCTGCCATTAAGTGGCTTTCCAATTTATACTTTTCCAGTGTTTGCATCCCCTGTGCAAATGAATTCGTCCAACATGATATGGCAAACTACCCGAGGGCGTCGACGAGCCCGAGCATCTCCTACTTGGAGAATGCCAACGAAAACGCCTTTGTATACTGCGGCAGTCATTTTCAATCACCCGACTGTACGAACCAGAAGAACCGGAATGCAAACCAGCGCCAAAACAAGCCGAAGACCTCGAGATCAAGGAGGCTTGAACAGCAAAGGAATAATCGTGACAGTACCTTGCACAACTCACACACGGGGTCGAATTCCCTCTCTAATTCGTCTGGTCAACTTTCTTCCCAACTCTCGTTACCTTTACCTCAGCAATTGTCGCCTCGGTCAGCGCATGACCAGACTCCACCCCTCCAACAGTATACCGAGAACCCCTCGTTGCCCTTCCCAAACCACAGTCAGACGTCCAATGCACAACTTCCCAGAGTCTATTGCCCCCCGCCAGTCACGCACCGCTACCAACTTGACCGATTCCTGGACGAAATTCCTGACTTCAGGTCAGCTGCGCTATCTGGAAATCTAGAGTGTTTGACAGGGAGGCGAAAGGGGATTGAAAGGAGTCGGAAACATTGTCATGCGTTGAAGGTGCGGGTACGGGATCTGCAGGGGAGTATTGAGGGACTCTAGGGAGAGAGGGCTCGGTTGGTAATAGGGGCCTAAGCGAGCCCCTTTTTAATTGCAGCGTCTCGGATGAACAGCATAGTTTTGTGTCTGCAACTTCGGGCTGGCAGGGCTTGTGAGAAATCAAGCCACTGTCAAATTGTCACTGGTTTTAAGCATTGAGGAAGGGAGAGAGATATTTTTCAGAGGCAAGAAGTAGAGAGTTAGCAGTGAGGTTTTCGTGGTTCGCATTTTCAATTTTTTTGTCGGCGATATAGGAACCTCAAGCCTTCCTAAATCACCGCCATACAATCACAATCACAAATTTGAGCAGATTCATACTTTGAAATTCAGGGATAGGAACCTTAAATCAGGCAAAGTTCAGATCCACGAGTACTCTGCGGCGTAGAGGCTTTTACCCAGAGCACGACGAACCTGACCCATATTAATTCACAACCTCTCCCACCTCTCTCTTCCATCCTCTACCACGAGTTCCTCCCAGATGCCATTTCCCAACTCAATCAACTGGTGTCCTACTGTCATCTAGGGATGTAAGAATTACGTAATTTGGACGGTCGTTATATAATAATGTAATATAACGAGATCTGGGCCGCTTCGCTAAAATTAAAGCCTGGCGGCCCTACGCAAGCTTCGGGGCCAGTCTTTAATTTTGCCCTGATCTCGATTCGAGATTAATTGGATGCCTCAGGCACTTATTTAAGGGATATCAGCTTTACTGACTTTAAATTCACTTTGAAAATTCACTTTTTGAAGGCTAAAAATTTTCCAGGTAAGCTAAATAAGGTAGGTTTTAATTTCGAATTCCAAAGCTTCTTTCCTTTAATAAACACACATACACACACGTAAGTCAACCCCATACCCGCTACGGGCCTGCCCCTGGCCTGTAACGCTCCTTACGGTCCGTAGAATGTCTTCTCTCCCATCTGCTCCCGCTGCTTCAGCAGCACCAGCACCAGCCCCAGCTGCAGCTCCAGCTTCAGCACCACCACCACCACCACCACCACCAGCACCAGCAGCAACAGTACCAGCACCAGCAGCAGCAGCACCAGCACCAGTACCAGCACCAGCACCAGCACCAGCACCTGCCCTGCCTGCCCTGCCTGCCCTGCCCGCCCGCCCAACCCGCGCCATGACGGCGCTCTCTTTGCTGGCTCCGCTGCGGGTGCCTGTTTTGCGGCCCGGCCGCACCACCAACCCCGCCCGGCCTGCCAACCTGGAGGCTGAGCTTGGCCAATTCATTAGTCAAGTTCATGCCGCCGGGTGCACACATTATACTGGCGGGTCGGGTGTATGGACGGTGTATATGGTCGTGGCTAGTTAGTTTGGAGGAAGCTATACTAACTGCCATTATGGTAGTAAGGGTGCCCGTTATTCTTTCCGTAAGTGCTTTTTATACCTGTTTACTAATCTTTTACGGACCGTAACTAACCTAACGGGTACTTACAGGCACCGCCGCCGCTCCCCCTCCCCCTCCAGCTCTAGCTCTAGCTCCTGCCCCTGCTACTGCCAACCCACATCCGCTTTGCCGGGTCGCTCCCGGTAGTCATATAGGTGACCGGGTCACTCCCGGCAGATTATCTTCGTATATATATATCCGCTATGGATTATTACGGATTGTAACTAATATGTAAATAGCCCGCCGCCCCGCCGCCCCTCGCCGCCGCCGCCCACTTACTCCCTCTCAGAGGGCACGCCGTTTCGCTGAGCTTTATGGGGAGCTAGCGGCTCTTTATAAAGAGGAGGCGGAGGTACTAGAGGAGGAGGAAGGGACGAATTACTCGGTGCCGGAGACGGAGGAGGAGGAGAGAGAGGAGGAGGAGGAGGAGAGGGAGGAGGAGAGGGAGGAGGAGAGGGAGGAGGAGAGGGAGGAAGAGAGGGAGGAGGGTGAGTAGAGTGAGAAGTTGTAAATCCCATAAAGGGTTACCTAGGAGAGGTGTGTACTTTTAATACCCAATGGCATGGTATTCTCGGTCCGTTTGAGCCCTAAAACATTCGAAATAATAATCGTAAGTTACTTACGGACAGATACGGACACTTATAGGTAGTTACGGATAGTTACGGACCCCCAAACCCCTCAAACCGACCCGTAAGGCCACCTGGTACCTGTAAGGCACCCGCAAGAGATAAAGTACTAAAGTAAATTGGCTAAGACCTCAGGATAAGTTATATTAAGTATTCTAGACAGGTTCTCGCATAGTAGAAGGATACTTAAGCCTTCTACGGATAATATACGGGAAACCCTTACGTAAAACTGCCCGTAAGTAAATACGGGCGTCCGTAGGTCCAAACTAACGGTGTAAAAGGACTGACCTTGTGACTTATTAATAGTCATTATAAAGTACAAACGGACCGGGAACTACTTCCGGGAAAGGGTAATCCCCAGGCTAGTATCTGTAGCGGATAGCTTGATCTGTAGAATCACCCGTAACTAGCCGTCAAAATCCCCTCCAAGCAAGCGGGCCTTAATATAATATGCCCATAAGCTTATAACTACTATCCGGGTCCTATTATATAAACCCTCTTGCGGATATAGGTTCCGTAAGAGTAGTACCGGAGCCCCGATCTTGAGAGTAAGCTGAGATAGTAGCAAGGAAGGGAGATTAATACTTTGTAGCTGCTCTACGGGTAGCTCATATAAGTTATTACCCGAAGACTCGTCCGTATCCAGGGAATCTACTAATTAGTACGTCCGTAATTAGCCTGGTAAATATCTAAGGATATGGGCATTAAGCTCCGAGATCATGGTATTTAATATGGTCAAGAGGTACCGCCCGCGGAAAGTTAACGGATCCGTAGTGGCCCGGGAGAGAAGATCTGGGGGGTAAACGTGGCTAATCAGATCCGTAATTAATACTAGCTAGTTCATATAGTCCGGAATTACTACTATTCTATTCGGGTCTGGGTTATTAGGCAATTCACTAATCTAGTGGATAAACTCCTGGCTATTCTCGCCCTCGCAGACCCGTATATTAGTCCGTAAGTAGAGCTACTTGAGCCGTGGCCAAATAAATGATTATTAAAGGCACGTAGTAATAATATCTGCCTGTAAACCGTATGGTATAACTAGAAGGATCTGGGCAAAGTTCCTACCGAGAATTACGGGTATTCCTCTAAAGAGAATATTATCCGCTACGGACCATAAATCTACCAAGAGCTAATGAATAACCTCAAAGCAGTACTTATACTATATTAGTACCTTGTCCCAGATAATGAGATCCGTAGACTAGAGAATCTGTCCAAGGGCACTCTGCTTTGTAATAGAACTTACGGACGATTCGTAAAGCTTAATTAGAATCTTGAACTAGGAGTGAGACGTATGTCCGTTTAGTAGTAAGAGAGCCGTAATACCCGTAGATATCACGTAAAGAACTATTCGCCCTTGCCTATAAAAGTAATAGTAAAGCGCCTTATATAAGAATGTCTTACCTATACCTCCTGGCCCTTGCAAGTAGAAGTGGGCTATTTGCGGATCTAATTCAATAGCCGTAATAATCTCCGTAAAGCACGATTACTAATCAGGATTAAGCTAGGCTCGTATTATAACCGCAAGTAATGCCTGGTTCTCGAGAGTATATAATACGAATAAGAAATAGTGCCTACTAGTCTAATCCCAGACAAAAGACGAGAGCCCGTAGTCCGCAAGTGACTACTACTGGTCCGTAAGCCCATACGCGAGCAAGAAGAGGCCATAATTATAGTGCGGGTTAAGAAGCGGAAGTAGGAAACCACTATTATGGGTGAGCTAGTGCCAGAGATTATTATAGAAGTAGTGCTTATACCGGTTCCAGATTACTAACGGGTCCGTAATTAGTTACTAGCGGAGGCTAGTTAAGAATAATGTCCGTAAACCACCCGCAGGTATAAATAGGATAGCCTTATTAAAACACTAGTACTACTCCTAGTTATTCTCTGCCAAGCCACGGGTAATACAGGTAGCCTGGTACGTTAGGTAACGGATGCCCTTAATTAAATATAGATCCGCAAAGGACCGCAGGCCGCGAATAACTATAAGTAAGAGCCGTAAGTAGTACCGCTTGCCCGAAATAGGGCTATAGTAATACATATGGCCAATCCGGTTATTATTGCCCCGCTAGCGGCGCTTCTATATATGAGTTTTTAGAACCCACGTAAAGTGGGCCGGAAACTCCGAGTATAAGTACTACCGGCCGTCCTCATACGTAGTATTATATTCAAAGAAAGCTATTAAGGTCAAACGGGCATTTGCGGTCTTTGCGGCTAGGGCTATAGGAGAGATATTATCCGGAAAGTAGACTATTTACTCCCCCTCAAGATAAACCGCAAGATACTAAATAGGAGGGAATTCCTAGTATATAGGAAATTCGAATAGCCGCCAAATAGCCTTATACGGACTCACGTAACGGGCGTATATATACCGGGTAATCTCGTTATCCGTAGCCATAATTATAACTATTATACGGTCCGCTCCTTTATATACGTACTTGTAAATATACTTAATTACTTGAACTAAGGTATATACTTCTATATTAATATATAAGCGGAACTTCTAGAGAAGATACGGGTTATACGGAATAACCTAGCGGTTATTACGGATGACTTGCTAGTCCCAAGCGCCAGGTTTGCGGACCGTAAACATCTGCCCGTTATTCCGGCGGCGGTACTCAGGATAGCTATTCTCGTAGATTACGGTACGGTCCGCAAAAGCCTTTGGGAACCTCTTAGAGCATGCTAACGGGCTATGAGCTTCTCTACGGACCATATATAGGGCCCGTATATAATTCTCCCTATATGGACCGTAAGACATATTACCCGTAACTAAGGCCAGAAGCTCGCCCGTAGGGTCCCATAACGGATCCGGTAGCTTAGTATATATGACCTCGTTTATATGCTCAGGCGTATTAAACTTTGCGGACACTTATAAGAATAAGAGCAAGTATAAATACGAAAGCCCTTGCTTCTAGTACTTAATCATATAAACGTGGCCCGCATATGGTCCGAAAAGGCTATTCTTGAGATCCGCAAGAAGCTCTTAAATCTTGAGTCAAAATACGCGAGTAATTAGATCTGGCCGGTCCATAGGTTATAAGCCGCATAGCTCCTGGATAATCTCTGGCTATTATAGATTAGCTATAAAGATAATAAAAAAGGTAAGCTTTCCAAAATAATGAATAATAGCTATTAAATCTTGAAAAAGCTATTATATAAACCGATCTCTGCCTATAAAGGAGGATAAAAGAACAAACCGCCGACCTAGATTAGCCGCTAAGATATCCTTACGAATAAGAGTATTCGTTAAACCATTATATATGTCCATACGGATCTTGTCTTAGTACGAACGGAGCCAATTAAGGGATATAGTCTTATAGGTAATAAAAGCATCCATAATATATTACTAAAAGAGCCGGCAAGCATAAAAGAGAGATAATGCCTCGCGATTACGGGCATATAAACGGAACCGGTAAAAGGGCCACTGCTCCAAACGGATCCGTTAACGGGTATAACGGGCATCCCGCAAGGTCATTCCATAGTACTACCCGTATTCGCCATATGAAAAGAGAAGTACGTAGTAAAGTGGCATATATACTACGTAAGTAATAGCTACCTAGTAAAGTTACGGACCTTAATAGCCAGGCTCGCGGACCGCAAGGAGAATATTACGTTGACTCTCGTCCGTAAACTCGTCTGGGAGGATTCCTGCTAGCTCCGTAGCTATGGGAAGGTTCTCGCGGTAACGGTCTGCCCCAGACTAGAGGATTAGGCGTATTTACGGGCTAAGAAGGATCCGAAAGTAACCCGTTTGGCTAGCTAATTGCTCCCGGGCTATCTTATAGATCCGTATAAAGGAATTACCATAATCCGCAAGTATCTCGTAAAGGCCGCGGAGAATAGCTTAATCGAGTTACGGGCAGTGCCATAACCGGAGATTAGTTACATAGTCTGAATCGTAAAAAAATAACTGGGCAAAGGCCGGAACCTGCTGCGAGCCTGGCTCTAAGGGTCCCTGGTAATAAAATAGCTCCCTATAGATCTGAAAGCAGTAAAGACCGCAAGAGAGGTTAGTACATATGTCTTTGGTATAGCTTACGGACGTAAAAGCAAGTACAGAGTTATATACCCTTATATTTTGACGAAAGCTATGGGCTCGCGAATTATCCCCTTCGAGAAGCGCCCGTAAAAAGGACGGAGGCGCCCGTAACTTATCCACTACTATGTCTCCTTTCTTATAATAGAGCTCAAATTTCTGATTCGTGCCCGTAATTGCCTCCAATATCCAGTGCCTTATACTATAATCCTCGCACTTAATATTTATCGGGCCAAGATCATAAGCGGGCCAATCCCGGAACCGTAAACGAAAGCCAATAGGTAAGACGGGAGAAGAAGGAGGAGGAGGAGGAAGAGATAGTAGTAGTAAAGCAGCCTCTACTAGCTAGCTACGGGCCGTATCTAGCTTATTATAGGTTCGACGGATCCGTTTTCGAGGCCGAGGGTTATCCTCGTTTGCAGGAGGCCGTATAGGTCCGGTACGGGTCTATTAAGGGGTATTCGGATTAATATCTATAAGAGGAAGGCGCCTCGCAGCCCGTTTGGCCTAAAGAAGATCAGTAACCAAGTACGTAAGTCCGGGCACGCGAGAATAAAAAGACCTTGTATTGCAAACATGTCTTATACGGATCTCCCTTAAGATTTAGGGGAAATCCGCTACGTGGAAAGTATTATCTATAACCGGTATAAAAGTATAATAGGGAAGAATTCATGTTTATATGATTATAGGCTAAATAAAAGGCCAAGGGACGCATGGGAAGCGGCAGAGAGCTTTGGTATTCCTGGAGCGAGTAATATATAGGGGGCTTGGGCTCAAGTTTTGGTATTTCTCACGTGACCAGTTTTTTAACTAGGTGGTCCGACCGTCCGATAGTATTATATAGACGAGTTTAGGGCCGCTTCGCTAAAATTATTGCTAGCAGCCTTACGCAAGCTCCGGGGCTAGTAATAATTTTGCCCTAAACTCGTCCCGAGTAGCTTTAAATAATACTTCTTAGTAATAAACTTATTAAAAGCTTTTAATAAATTATATAAGAAAGAAAATAGCTTATAAATATATATAATTATTTATAAATAAGTTAAAACTATTCTTTTAATTTATATTTTATATATAATTTCTTTTTAATTATTATTAAAATATTTAATAAAATCTAAATTATAATAAATTTAAATTTAAAATATTATTTTATAATTTATTAAAAGAATTTAAGTTTTAAATTATATAAAAAAATCATAATATTTTTAATTATTAAATTTTAATAATATAAGTACTTTTAATAAAAACTAAAATATTAATTTAAATATATATAAATTATTAATAAAATAAAAGTTTATTAAGTTTTATATAAGATTTAAATTATATTTATATAATCTTTTTATTTATTTTAATAATTAATATTTAAAGTTAATTTATATTTTAATTTTAATTAATATATAAATATAAAATTATAAAAAATAAAATACTAATTTTCTTATATAAAAAGTTAAAATTATTATTTAATTTATTTATATATTATTTATTAATATATTAAATAATTTAATTTAAATAAAATTAAGGCTAGTTATATTTAAAGTTATTTAAAGCTTATTTTATAAATAAAAATATTTATATTATTTATATTTATATTAATTAATATTTAAAAGCTTTTATTAAAATATTTAGTCTTTTATCTTATATATTAGGTCTAATTTACTTTCTTATTTCGTTCTCGGTATATATTATATATAAAGAACTGGCCAAAGTTTATAAGAGGCTTTTTTTAATTATAAAAGAAATAGTATTACTTTATAGGCTATTTACCGGAGCTATAAAGTATTTCCGGCTCTTTTACGGGCTTTTTTAAGCCTTATTTTTATCCATAAAGCTCTTCTTTTTTACTTATAGGCCTCTTATTACTCGTACTCTTACCCGTAACTTCCTTTCAAGCCTTACTCTTATCCGCAAAGCCCTCCCTTTTTTTTTACGGACCCTTTTAAGCCTTACTCCTATATATAAAGCCTTCCCTTTCCTCCTATAGACCCTTCCAAGCCTCACTCTCACTTGTAGAGCTTTCCCTTCTCTCTCGCAAGCCCTTTTAAGTCTTACTTCTACTTGCAAAGCTTCCCCTTTTCTCTTATAAGCCCTCCTAAACTTTACTCTTACTTGCAAGGCTTCTACTTATAGAGCTCTCTCCTACTTATAGGCTCTTCCAAGCCTTACTTCTACTCGCAAAGCTCTCTCCTTCTTGCAAGCTCTCTTATATAAGTATATAAAAACCTGTAATTTTTAAAGGCTTATATTTAAATAATTATTAACTTCTAAAGACTGTTTTCTATTATCTTTTATAAGATGCCCGTAGTATTTCCTTGCCCTTGCCTCCCTAAGCTCTTGCTCGCCCGATTCCTTACTACGGGCTTATATATACCTCTGAAGCTCATCTCTAGTAGGCTTATTCTCAAGTCTCGATATCCTTGCTTGCTCCTTTCTTTGAATCCCACGTCGACGATTTGACTTTTCTTTCCGTTTTTGATATATAGAGCATATAAAGAAGCGTCCAAATTCAGAAGAAGGTCGTTTTTGATTATAACTGGAGCAGTATTCTAAGAAGAAGGATTAATAAGTATTTACGGACAGGTTTTCCTACTTACGGGCTATAGGCTCGTCCGCAAGCTGGCCCGCAGGCATTTCTTCGTCCGTAAATTAATTCACAGATACCTCTTCGTTCGCAGGTCCCTCTTCTTTATCCGTAGCTCCCTCTTCTTCGTCCGCAGGTCTCTCTTCTTTGTCCGCAGGTCTCTCTTCTTTGTCCGTAAGTCCTTCTTCTTTATCCGCAAGCCCCTCCTCCCTTTATATCTCCAAATATTGGCTAGCCGTAAGCCAGTAACACGTTTCCCATAGCTCTTGCTTGTACTCGTGCTCGTACTCTTGCTCCCCCCTCTTATACTCGTCCGTAAACTGCCATATATTAGCCCTATTCCTTAGCTCTTCGCAAGCTCTTACCGGATCGTTCTCCTCCCATTGCCTCTCTTGCTCTCTCTCCTACTACTTCTCCTCCTTATGCCACTGCCATTCGTCTTCTTGTAATCGAGCTTGGAGCTTCCTTTCCTCGTCCCAAGCCTGCCATTATACTTTTGCTTTTGTTCGTGCCTCCTCCAAGTCTATAGGATCCCATATCCTACGCATTTGTGCCCGTAGCTTTGCTCTCTTCACCCGTAAGACCCGCCAGTCATACCTTTCTTGTATAAACTTGCCCGTAGCCTCACGGTATTAGTCGTGCTTTCGTGCAAGGCAGATTTCGCAAGTATAAAGTCGATATCCGTCCTCGTGAAAAGGGAAGCTTGTAATTAGGCGAAAGGACTTGCACCCAGAGCAGCGTAGCCGATTTAAAGGAAGGGTGTCCATTGGAAAGTCTATAAAAGGGAGCCTGTAAAGCTTATGGAAGTGAGCCTATAGAGCTTGCGGAGCCAGTGAAGCTTGTGGGAGGAGCTAGAAGTTTTGGTGTTCCCGCACAGACCCTATCACGTGATAGCGTCCGTTTTCTCCGGAAAATAGCGTTAATATAAGAGAGGAGGACGAGTTTAGGGCAAAATTATTAATTGGCCCCGGAGCTTGCGTAGGGCCGCTAATTAATAATTTTAGCGAAGCGGCCCTAAACTCGTCCCGAGTGGGGTTGGAATTAAAGGGGGTATGTGACTTGGTAAAGGCCTTTACGGACGGTATAAGAAGGAGAATAGCCCGTAAGTATGCAAAGTCACCCGTAAGTAAGTCAAAAGCTAAGCAAGACCTTGTAATATTTCTGGGTATACTATATTACTCGTACGGTTTATATCAGGAGATAAAAGAATACAAAGCCCTACTTGTGAGGTCACCCGTAAAGCTGCCACATAGAACTGGCCGTGAGAAAAGACCGGTGACCGTAAATCTACCCCCACTGCCTCAAATAACTGGCCCTGTAACTTATTAATAGTCATTACAAAGGATAAAGCAAGTGGAAACTGCTTACGGGAGAGCATAAAAGACAGTTACTAATCCGTTGACTAGAGCTTGATCCGTGAAATCGTCCGTAATTGGCCGTCAAAGTCGCTACCTAGTAACCGTACGCGAATCGAGAACCTCCCAAAGCTATAAATCGATATCCGCGATCCGTTATAAAGCCCTTCCTGCAGATAGAGATTCCGCAAGAGTATTACGGGTGTACCGATCTTAAGTCATAGCTTGGAAAGGGGTAGACCTAGTAAATAGATACTTTGCAAGACCTCTAGTGGTAATTCTGCGATCTCAGGATCTGCCTCGTTTATATTAGCTAAATCTACTGCGAAATACGTCCGTTTCTGGCCAGGGAGCATATCCAGGATTATTTGGTTAAGCTCGCGGACCGTATTATTCAGGGTTAATAGGATTGCCCGTCCGCTAAAAGCCCGGTAGTCGTACGGGGCCCGCAAGAGTCGCTCTCGCGGGTAGACGTAATTAATCAGGTCCGTAACTAACTAGGTATACGGAACAAAAGGCGGGAGCATAATCTGCCTATTTAAGGACGGGTCGTACGGCAGATGACTAATCCAGTCCACAAAATCCTGCTCGGACAGGTTATTATGGACCCGCATATTAATCCGTAACGATAGCTAACGGAGCCGTAGCCAGATCCACGTCTGCTATAGGCAGGCCCGTACCGTATCGGCCCGCGAACTATGTGGGACTACTAGTAAGATCTGGGCAAAGTTCCCCCCGAGAATTACGGGCACCCCTCCAAAGAGAACGTCGTCCGCGACCGACCGTAAATCGACTATTAGCCAGTGCACTACCTCAAAGTAGTACTTGTGCTATATGGGCACCTCGTCCCAGATAATTAGGTCTATAGATCGCAAGAGAGCCCCGAGCCGGCTCGTCTTAGTAATCGTACTTATAGATGACTTATCGAGCTCGAGCGGGATCCGGAACTGGGAGTGAGACGTGCGTCTGTCCGGGAGAAGGAGAGCCGCGATACCCGTTAACGCCACGCACAGGACTACCTTACCCTGGCCACGATAATAGTAATAGAGGGTCTTATAAAGGAACGTCTTACCGGTCCCGCCCGGGCCTTATAAGTAGAAGTAGGCAGTCTGCGAATCGTCCGTAATTACCGCCATAATTATCTGGAAGCAAGAGCGCTAGTTCACGTTTAGCTAGGCTTGCATTACGGTCGCCAGCGACGTCTTATAAATATGATTGACCCGTAGATTAGCCATACGGTGGCTTATGGTCTAGTCAAAGGTATTCTCAGGCAGGGCAATATCCATAAGCGTCCGCTAGAGATCCGTAAGGCCGAGACTAAGTAAAAAGAGGCCGTAATTATAGTAAGGATTAACCAAGGGCAGCGGGAAATTAATTAACGGGTCGTGAGCTAGCTTGCGGGCCAAGTCGTCGCAGAAATGCTTCTTATACTGGTCCCAGATTACTTGCTTATCCGTAATTAGCTACTGGCGGATGCCTATAAGAAAGAGTATCCGTAAACCATGGCCGGCCATTAATAAAATAGCCTCGTTAAAGTACTAGAACTACTCCTAATTATTCTCTGCCAAGCCGCAGGTAATACAGGCAGTATAGTATGTAGGATAACGGATGCCCTTAACTAAGTAGAGCTCGTTAAAGGACCGCGGACCGTATATGACCGTTAGTAAGAGCCATAAGTAGAACCGCTTGCCCGAAACTGGGCTATAGTAGTAAATACGGCCAATACTATACCCTCGCTCGCGGCGCTTCTATATCCGGGTCTTGGTAACCCATATAAAGTGCTATGGGAACTCGTGGTAGAGGTACTAGCGGCCGTCCTTATATATCGCATTATACTCAAAGAAAGCCATTAAGGTTAAACGGGCATTTGCGGCCCGGTCCGCGATTTGCTCGGGCAAGAGGTCGTCCGTAAAGCAGACCGTATACTGCCCAGGGAAGTAGATTGCCAAGTGCTAGACCGGGGGGAACTCCTGGTACGTTAGGTACTCAAACAGGCGCCAGAAAGCCTCCGTAGGGCCCATGTACCGAGCTTAAAGGTATTAGGTAATCTTATCGTCCGTTCCTGAGACTATAATAGTCATATGGTCCGTTCCTTTATAGACATACTTATAGATATACTTGATTACTTATACGGAAGTATAAATCTCGACGTTAATATAGGAGCGGAACTTCTGGAGGAGGTACGGGTTATATGGAATGACCTAGCGGTTATTACGGATAACTTCCTGGCCTGGAAAGCCTGGTTTACGGACCGTAAACGTACGGCCGTTATCCCGGCGCCGGTACTCGGGATACTTATTCTCGCGGATAATTATTATAGCCGCAAATGCCTTAGGAAACCTCTTCTGGTATGCGAGCGGGGCTATAGGCGTCTTACGGACCATATATGGGGCTTTCGGATTATCTTTAAGGCTATATGGTCCGTAAGATATCTAACTAGTTACTATAGTTATAAGTTCGCCTATAGGATCCTATAACGGGTCTGGGAGCTCGGTATAAACAACTTCGTTAACTAAATCGGGGGTTAAGAAGACGGCTTTCCTCCTAAGGAATAAGAGCAGGTATATATACAGGAGGCCACGCTTCTAGTACTTAATTATATATACATGGCCTGTATATAGTCCGAAAAGGTAATTCTTTAGGTCCGTAAGTAGCTTCCTTACCTTTAATATAAAGACCTAGTAAAGGAGATCCGGACGATTAATGGCTTGCTACCCGTTTAAGAGATAATCTATAATCTCAGGCTAGCGCGGGTTAGCCGTAAAGGTAATAAAGAAGCTTGGCTTACCAAAGTATTATATAATAGCTATTAAGTCTTGAAAGAGCTACTGCATAAAGCGATTACTGCCCGTAAAGCTTGACAGGAGGATAAAGCGACGGCTAATATTGCCCGTACGGACGTTCTCGCGGATTAGAGTATCCGCAAGTCCTATATATATGTCCGCACGGATATTCTGCTAGTGTGAGCGGAGCCAGTCGAGCAAGGTAGTCTCGCAGGTAATATACGTATTAATGACGTACTACTAAAAGAGGCAGCTAGCGTAAAAGAGCGGGGAGAAGGCCGGACGAACGTGGAGGTAGTACTAGTAAAAGACCCGCTACTCTAGCCGTATCTACTAACGGGTCCCATTACGGTCCTATAACTGCAAACCGTAGTACTAGCCCGGGTCGCCGTACGGGAAGAGCAAGACATAGTAGAGCGGCATATACGCTACGTATATAATATTAACCATATGTATTTGCGGACGCTCGCGGCCTGCCTCGCGGACCGTAAGTACCAGATTACGGCGGCTTGCATCCGTATACTCGTCCGGGATAAGGGCTATAATCTCGTTACTCGTTAGGAGATTCTCACAATAACGATTAGCGCCTGACTCAAGAATTAAGCGTATTTGCAGGTTAAGTAAGATCCGGAAATCGGTTTACTAGCTCGCAAGACGCTTGCGGGCTATCTTATAGACCGTAATAAACGGATTATAATCCGTAAGCATATCCGTAAGCTATAAAAGAACTATATGATCTAAGTAAGGGAAGTTAGTAGCCCGTATATTAGTTATAAAGAGCGGATTATAAAAGAAGAGCTATGCAAAGAAGGGTTTGGCGTATAAAGCAGGCTATAGCGGGCCTTGGAAGTGGAAGAGCTCGCCATGGATCTAAAAGCACTGGATCTCACGGGAGAAGTCAATCCGGGTGTTCTTCTTATAGCTAATTAACGTAAAGGCAAAAGCATAATTATATGCCCGGATATTCGTCCGGAAGGCCCGACAGAGCGGGTTATTGCCCGTAAAGAGGTAAGAGAGATATAGAGGAGGCTTGCGGATTAGAGGAAGTATTACGTCGCCCTTCTTATAACAGGCCTCAAAGCGATCGTCCGTATAGCCAAAATAAAGGGCTCCGCAAGCTATATAGTAACCCGTAAGTGGACTAGTCGTATGTACGGGAGCTGGCCGGAAGCGGGAGAGGAAGGCAGGAGGCCGTATAGTAGGTAGGTCGGCAGGAGGGTCCTCCATAATATGAACTGGGGCCGCGACGGACGGTTAACGGATCCGTTACTGGCGCCGTAGGGCTGGCTCGTCCGCAGAGACGTCCGTAATTGACCGTCGTTATTACCGGGAGGTAGGGAGGGCATTCGGATCGAGTTCTTGCAAGGCAGGGCGCCGCTGGATATAATTAGTAGTATTTCGGGCCTATTAACTAGTTAATTAAGCCAGAAAAGGGGAAGGATATAAACTTGATAGTGAGAGCAAGTTTTATATGGCTTAGCCCGCTCTGTAATAAAGTCAGAAGCAGGCCGGTTTTGCCTATAGGAAGTACAAAAGCGGGGAGGATCCATAGTAATAAAGAGAAGAAAGAGAGAAAAGTAATATAAGGTCAGGATTTCTTTTCTTAGCGCCTTCTACGGAACCGCTAGCTTTAGATTTTCCCCCGAGCTTTAAAAAATTATAATAAAAGCCCCTTGCATCTCAGAACTACTAAAATATAGAGAAAGGTACTCGAGTATTCTCTCTATAATCCTAAGCTAAGCTCTAAGGATTTAGACGTAATCGCATTCTGATGCGCGATTCCCTAGAAGGGGGCGATTCTGGTGTTCCTCACGTGACCAGTTTTTTTCCAGGAGTTCCGGGAGCCAACCGGTTAAGGGTGGTCCGAACGTAGCTCAATATAAAGAAGTAATGGAGAAAAATGCGTTATTACATTATTATTATACGCTAATCCATTATGGAAAGGCTTGCTCGTAAGGGAGAAAGGGTACTGGGTGCCCCTACCCTAAACGGACGGAGACGCCCAACTTTGCTTAATTTATGCCTAACTTATACGTAAATTATACTTGATTTCGTATAATATAATAATGGCGAGATCGTCATTATATAATTACGCCAATTGGCATTATTATATAATTATTATTCTACAATTTTATACATCCCTACTGTCATCCTGTCATCCTGTCTAGCTTGGATTGTTGGCTGGCGTGCGCACATCGCTTACACTTCGTTTTATGTCGAATGAAATACAATGGTTTGTATTCAACTTCTCGTGGCTCTTTGCAGCCAGAGTTGCTGCAGGGACCGAACCTATGGTGGATGTTGTGCGTGCATCGATATACCCAAACTTCCCATTCGCACAAGGTTCCAGAGAGGGGGGTTGGCTGCGCGGTCTGGCTTGAAGGTAGCGACGCGGGTAGAGATAGGTCGCCAATCTGAGTGAAACTTTTGGTGATGAAATATTGATCTCAGGTATGAGTTGGAGTAAGCTCGAGGTCACTGAAGTTTTGTGGGAAGGAAGAGCCCGCCTTCAGGAGGAAGCCATCTCGGAGGTTTATGCACATCCTGAATGAGAGCCATGTCTTCTTAGCCAACGTATGATTCTGATCCTAGAGAAAACTGAGTGATGTGCATACTGTAAGTCGTGACCAATGAAATCCTCCTTTTGCCGCTGCAAAAACAATCACGTTAATATCTTCTACTCGCACCTGATGCCCAGGGTGGTCAATAAACCAGTCAGTTAATAGTTACAAATCTTATAGCCAGTCAGCTAGGATTTCCCTAGCTTATAAATCGCTAATAAGCTCATAGATATTAACTTGTAAGCAAGAATATAGGGGGCTTGGGGGCTAAATGCCTAAATTTTAGGCTCTTTCCTCCTTAAGCCCCTTAAATTCCGCCTCCCCCCCAACGGGCCCTCACGTGAAAAGGGCTAAGTATAAATAATCATAAGCCCTAATTATAAAGGAGTACCTTTATATGGCTAGAGGAAAGATAGGTTACCTTATAGTAGTAAATAGAATTACATTAGGACCTATTCTTATAATATTATACTAACTCGACTTTTTCACGTAAGAGATTATGTATTAAGTATAGCTAATCAACCAGCAGGGACGTCATAAGCCAATCAGCTAGGAAATATCCTTAGCTGATGACTGACTGACTGGCTTATTGCCCAGCCTGCTGATGTCTCAAGTACATTGCAAAATCGATTGAACATCGTATTAGAAAACTGCTTGTCCGTTGTTCTAATGATCTTTGCATTTCTCCTGTTGTGAATCCCAGAGCACAACTAGATTCATCAACACAAGTACCTCAGAGCAACTAAATCCCACACCGTTTCCCACCATTTCTCAATTCCTATTCCTCATCCCTCCCGGTTTTCATTAAACTGTACGTTGGTTATCGGGGTGGAATGGATCGCACTTCCTGCATTCGTAGTCGAAATGCCATCTATACGTGGGGTCGTACTTTGGCATACCGGGCTCCTTATCCTTGCATGATACCTTTGATTTGTTCTCTTCGCATTCGTAGGTTCTGCGATAGGTTGGTGGGCATGGGCAATAGTAGTGGGGTTTCCCCATTCGCACATCTTTTGTTGTCTGTTTGTTTATTCTCTTGCTGGTTTGGGGGAGGATCGGTTGGGAAGAGATTCGAGACTATGGAGCTCGAGGTGCGCTGGTTTACTCTCACTAACTTGGTATCTTTCAAGTGTAGCTCGTTTGACTCCTTGAGGTGGGCGAGAAGTTGAGGTCGAGGCTGCGTTTAGAGATTCCAGAATGAACCGTGAGGACCCCAAGTGGATGGGTATCGCAGCTGGCAGAGCAACTGCGGCTCTCGGACGCTGCAAGGGTAGCTGCTATAGGGCTCCTTAGCGATGCCTCTCTTATAAGTACATGGGATACGCCTTGAAAAGGTGTGGTACTTTTGCCTGTGGCTTATAGCGTCCTTTGAGGGCAATGGCTAAAAGATATAGGGAGTTTTAGCAGGTAATTGTAGTAGAAAATGGCCCTGTAGTGGACTTGCAGCTCAAATGCCTTGTATTTTCGTCACTTTATGCCGTTTTCTGGGTACAAAACACCACCCACAACTCTTCCTTCAAAGCCAACAACTAGGTAAAAGGCTTCTTCCACGAAGAAACACTCCTCTCTAGAATGTACCAGAATCTCTTAAAACAATCCACTGCAATGCTAAAAATGAACACACCCCACCTTTGAAAAATGAGACGATATCTCAGCCACTAACACTACCTCGACTTATAGTCCCCCCCCTTTGCCGCAAGATAATGACAGCGAGTTGAATATTGACAACAAATAGAAATCGACAGAGAAAGTAATGAGGTTTAACACCTTATTATTGTGCTCCGGATATCAAGTACATCCTATTCCGTAAAAGCATACACAAGCTCGAGGTGACCAGATTCCAACCTCACTTGCTCCTAGTCTCTCCAAAGAGGTATTCCCCTTTCTCCTCGATCTTCTTCCCGATCTGCTCCTTTCACAGAACAAAATGTAACAACGGGGTTGTCGTACGGGTACGGGTACTAGGGAGCTTAGCTTAGCTTACTCAGCACCCCCTTTATTTAGCTAGATCCAGAGGCTCCCTCAGAGCTTCTTTTAATTAGACAACCATTTATGCAAATCACTGTTCCTTGCTCTCTTCAATAGGGGTCAAGGCACTCTTACATACCCCACCTCAAGCCCCGTGAGCCGCTTGCCTTCTCCTCACTTTCCCCTTCTACCAGACAGCCAGACAGACAGGCATTCCACAACAGCTACGAGACAAGTCAGTACCTCGACTAGTATAACCCACCCTCCACTCCTCCGAAGCCCGCAGCTAAAGAGAAAGAAAGGACGGTGCGCCAAGAAGACAGACTCTTCTCTTCTCCTCTCCTCTCCCTCAAAAACCACGGTCTCTCAGCGCAACCACCCGACAGACAAGACCAGACGACTCCACCACTTAAAGGCATAGCATTCCCATAACACAACACTTCGCTTCCCTCTTCCTCGCCCACCTTCCCTTCATGCCGAATATTGACAGCTGACGACTCATGACAGTGAGGACTCCAGACGCTGGTCTTGAGTACATCGTACCCCAAGTCTCTGGTACATGCAATTTAATCCCTTTAGAGAAGCGGTAGAAATTCAGCGGCGCCTTGTACTCGCCTTCCCTAGCAAGACACTTACTTACTCTCCCACCCCACCTCTTCCCCCACCACACGCACACTCCCATCACAGACAGAACACAGAAAAAGAACAGTTGTGGGAAATGGAGGTTTGCTGTGGAAAAAAAAAAATCTCGCAGATCGTTTTTCTAGCCTGTCCTATCTACAACTCAACGCGTTGTGTGCGGGGAAAAAAAAATCAACGGATATGCAAGTCGCACTTTTCCACCATCCTCCCGTATTTCCGATACCAATTCCGTTTTCCCACCCACCCGTCCATTCATCCATCATACATTCATAGTTCGTATCCATTCGTATGCCATGCATCCACAGCGTTGCATCACCAGTCGCCAAGAACCAAGAACAAAGAGCCAGAAACCAAGAGTAGTTAGAAGTCTCGCAAAAGAGAAAATCTAGCACACAGCATGCGTCTTGCCCGTCTTGCCCTGCAGACTATGGCCCTCCTTCCGATAATGCGGGTGATTATGTCTCGACTTGCCAGAGTGCGTAGAGTGCGCATGGATATACTCCTGGTTCTTCTTGATGCTCTCCTTGTCCATTTCATCCAGGACCTGCACGCACAATTTGATGTCGCACAGCAACTGGTCGCATCTTGACTTGCTGAAATCCTCGCGCACCACAACTCTCAGCATCTTGAGGTCCTTGGTGTGAGGAGCCATCGTGTAGGCGGGCACAACCCATGAGCGGCCGCGGAGCTGATGAGCGAGCGCGAACTCGTCGTAGTGCTTCTCAGACTTGGGGTCGAAGCGGAAGGCTACGAGGGGCAGACCTTCGCCGGCCTTCTTGGACATGATGATGAAGCCGAGCTGCTCGAGGGAGTCGGAGAGGTAGTCCGCGGTGCGGGTCAGGTTCGTCATGATGGCGCGGTAACCGTGCTTTCCGAGGCGGATCAATTGGTAGTATTGGCCGATGACTTGGGAAGCGCCTTTGGAAAAGTTGAGGGTGAAGGAGGCTTGGTCGGCGCCCAAGTAGTTGATGTTGAAGACAAGTTCTTTGGGGAGGTATTCGGGGGCGCGCCAGACGATCCAGCCTACACCTGGGTAGACGAGGCCGTACCTGTTTCTTGTTAGTCAAAGGAAGTTAAGAAAAGAGAAGGGGTCGTACTTGTGGCCGGAGGTGTTGATTGAGACCACCTTCTCAAGTCTGAAATCCCACTCCAAGTCAGGAACCACGAATGGAGCCACGAATCCTCCAGATGCAGCATCGATATGGATAACTGTATCAATATTCTTCTTGATCAACAGGTCATTGACTGCCTTGGCATCCTCATACTCTCCAGTATAGGTGGTGCCCAGAATAACGCAGATACCAATCGTGTTCTCGTCAACAAGCTCGACGGTCTCCACGGGATCAATGATATATCTCTCCGGTGTGCAGAACACGTACTTCTCCTCAACCTCGAAGTACCTCGCTGCCTTCTCCCAGCAGACCTGGACGGCGGAGCTCATAACGATATTCGGCTTATCGAATGGCTTGCCAGCATCCTTACGCTGATTCTGCCAGCGCTTCTTCATGGCCAGCACAGCCAGCATGATTGCCTCCGAGGATCCGACAGTCGAGGTACCGACTGCGGCCGCTCCTTCTTCGTTGACGGGGGCATTGAAGAGTCTGCCGATCATGGAGACGCAGCGGTTCTGGATGTCGGCGGATTGGGGGTATTCTTCGTAGTCGATGAAGTTCTTGGAGAAGGATTCGGTCATCAGGTCTTCGACTTCCTTCTCCTGTTCGTAGAGATATGTTAGATGTTGTTTTGCCGCTGATTGGTGGAAAGGGGGAATCTTACCATATAGGTAGTAACGAAGCTTGCCAAGCTGAAATCACCTTGTGTTAGCTGCCACCTTCCATTTCTGTGCCGCGTGAAGGGCAAAATCTCAAAATCTCCTGGTTTTGATACCATTGAGAAGGCGAAAAGTCGTGGGGGGGGGAGTCTTACTTGAGCATGGGGTTGCCGTCGAGAGACAAATCGTCCTTGATCATGCGGTACGCAACCTCCCTGGGCATCTCGCACTCGGGCATCTCATGCTTTGGCAGATCCTCAGCAGCGAAGCGGGAGCCGTAGACGGTGGTGGTGAAGGTGTCACTGTCGGAGCTGGCGCCCATGTTGAGCTTCTCCATGCCCTTGACAAGGGGCTGATTGATCTCATGGTCTTTGGGGATGGAGGCAAGGTGAACCATGGTTGCGGTGTTGTTCGGGACTTGCGGGTGTGTGTGAAGCTGTGATGGAGTTGCAATGTAGCTGTTGGAAGATGATTTGTTTTGGAGTGGAGGGACGGGTGAGTGTGAGAGCGGAAGAGCTGGAGGAAGAAAGGGGGAAGTAGCGGGTTTTAAGCAAGGCCAGATTCACCGTCACCGTCACCGTCACCGTCACCGTCACCTCGTTACGTTTGGGTGCAGCGGGGTTACTGTGGGCAACAAGCTCCGCCCCTCGTCAGAGCTTCAGACCAGGATGCAGCTGTCGCAAATCTTGGCACCAAAAGCTTGTCTCTCCAATGAATCCCAGCGAAGCAAAATACTACGTACTACTGCATTTATTCCACGGTGTGCTGGTTCAATTGGACAGCATCCGCATGTCCCGGTCAAAGGATTCATTAGTTTCATTCACTCGCTGTTCTCTGCATTCGCTCCGTTTCACGCCTCCTATCAACAGCTGCGTCATCCGCCCCTCTCACATCCTGCCCTTCCTCCCGGCGCCTTACCCCAGGATTGCCCAGCATTCCCAAACAAACAGCAACCTGCGACCCCCGTATATCATCTCACTTCAGCATCCCTCCAGCCAAACCCTTCCCCTCCACCGACCATACACATCTCGCCACATGTCTCTCGCTGCCCACGAACGCGCTCTTGCGAGCCTTTCATAACTTCCTTCTGAACGCCCCTATCTGTCATTATTTTCTTCTTTTCCTGAATGCCACGATCGGTGTGGGTAAACTTGGGCCCGGCACGGCCGCGGTCCAGGCACACGCTGCAGGTTGCAGCTTCGTGATTCGTGCGTGCATGATGTCGGTGTGATGGTGGGGCTGCTATGGAAGCGTTTGTTTTGAGGATTTGTGCATGGGGGAACGAGTGTTCTGGCAAGCTTGACGGGAGGAAGGGGTGCCAGATCTGATAAGATCGTGTGGGGTCACCGAGCGCGAGGAGAGTGTTCTTGGCCTGCCCGATGGACACCATAAATGGAGCATTATCTCGCGCCGTCTCGAGAGATTGCGAGCTAAACTTTAAGTATATTGAGATCTTGTGTGGGGTAGTGAAGCACAAGGTAAGTAGCACCACGCGTGCTTGGGACACACAAGAGCTGTGCTTACAGGATTTGGATTTTGTATGCCTATTGTATCCATTGAATCCTGTACAATGGAATATCACCTTCGAAGTCTCCAGGTACACAACGTTTGAAGGGCAAGTGCTCCACTTGTCTTGTCGCACAATCCATAGTCCCACCAGCCTCCTGTACATTCACACATCATCCACTGCCAGCATTAGATGAAGAGCCCTACTTTTCATCCTATCTATTCTTGTTGTGAAGCACTAAATAACCGTCAGCAAGCAGCCCGTTGTTTTTCACGCTGGAGCACTCTTATCCGTGTTCATTCACAACCATACACTTTCCCCCCAAGACTCGGTAGTTCGAGGGGGGAAACACCACAACACAACACTCAACCCCATCGCATATAAAACTAAAAGCTACGCCTTGATGATGTTCTGCTTTGTCTGCGAGACGTTAATAAATACTTTATCTTCGCCGATGTATAGGACGGCGCATCACACTACTGTCTTGCTTGTGCAAACACTTCCCTCGTCTGCAAGGTCTCATTTGTTAGTGAAGAAAGAGCACTAATCTCACAACCCACAAATTCGAAAGGACATAAAGTCTATCCCAGGCATCTATTCGAGTAGCGGTAGCAGAGAAAGGTCCTATTTTACACCGCCCGCCTCCCCGATAAAGAGGAGCAGACACGCCCTAAGTCTATCTATGCTCTAGAAAACTAAACAAGCAACAGACAATGAACCAACCCACGAACGATGCAGCGAACCTCAGAAACGGAAATTCTATCCAGCAGCAGTCCACGCCCGCGGAATCTATCCTCTCCTCTATTCAAGCCCCCCACTCTACTTCGAGATCTCGACGCCGCCCGTAGCACCAAACACCTTCTTCAAATCCCCATAGATCGCAAACTGTCCAGCCGTAAGTGTACCAACCATGAACAATCTCGCGCCAATACCCGCATAACTGCCCTTCAGCCCCAGCTCCTTCGCAATCTTGATCAATCTTGATGTGGTTCCCTCTCCGGGGAGGCCCTTGGTCTTGTTGATCTTCGAGAGCATGGTGTCCGCGGGCTGCGAGACGATGGCGGCGGCGAAACCGGCGATCAGGCCGGAGCCCAGGTTGACGGTGGTTTGGAAGGCGTCGGAGGACGTCGACTTGTCGAATTGCTGCCACGCGAACTCGGCGACTTTCTCGTAGACGACGAACTTGGCCATTGTGTATGGGACTCTGTTCTCCAATTAGCAAACATCCAATTCATTTCATCTCATCCCTCCTTTCGATTAGGACAGAACTTACTGCTTGAACAAGATGGGGCCAAAGCCAGCGTAGAAAGCACCCACACCCTCGTTCTTCAGCATCTTGCTGAAGCCACCGATCAGGCCATTAGCATATGTCGGCTCGGAGACGAGACGGATACGTGTAGCCTCCAGCGGGCAGAGCGCAATATCGGCGAAGAACTCAGCCAACGCGGCAGAGGCGAGGTAGACGCCCGTGCGGTTGTTGGAGGCAGTCTCATATCCAAGGAGGTTGATAGACTGCTGCTTGAACAGCTCGTAGCCTCCGAACTTGAACGCGCCTTGGAGGAAATAGCCTGCAGCGGTGGGACCGAAGCCGGTCAAGAGAGCACCCGCACCCTCCTTTGCGATCACTTGGCGGATGCCGCCGAAGAGGCCCCTGTTGTATGTGGCGGGGTCGAGTTGGATTCTTGTCTTGACGCTGTGTGGAAGTGTTCGTTAGTGAAGATGTTCCTTATCGCGCCAAGCTCCACCTCGAGGGACAGGTTTCTGTGTCGCGCATGCAAAATGCCTCAGAGAGACTTACACATCGACGGGTGTGAGGGCGCCGTGGGTAACTGAACAGCAGATGGCGCCAGCCAAGGCGAATCTGGAGTAGAGGGCCATGCCGCTGAGCTTCTCGGGGGTGTTGGCAGCAACCTTTTGGACGACGGCATCGACCTTCGTCGAGCCGGTGGAGGGAACCGATGCCATCGGGATTATGTATGTGAAGGAGTGAGGGGAGAGGTGTATTAGGTGTAGAGAGTGGAGATGGGGAAGATGCTCGGTCTTCTCGCGAGAGGGTGAGGTTCAATGGGATGGATTGATGTTGTGGGGGAGAAGCTTGGGTTGGAGAGTTAATTATTTGACTTTTCAAAATTTTTGAGGCTCGGGACTTTTCGGGCGTTAGCTGGGTAACGGGCACTGACGGACTTGACGGATTTACGCACCAGCGGCAAACATGGGGCCGAGAGCTCTTAGCGTATAAAGGCTGCACGTGTCCTGACCTCGCTGTGTTTCCCGACCTCCAGCCTTCACTCCTTCTCATAAATAGGGGGGAGGCTTGGAGAGGGCTGTCTGATTACTAAACTGTCTATAATAAAAGGGGCTCGCATTCTAGGGTATATTATAGATAGGCCAGTTGTCAAATAGCCCCCTTAAATTCTTTCCAAGCTTCACCACCATGGAAGTTCACCTCCAGCCACCCAACTGGCACCCGCAGAAGTCTGCGTGCACGAATTCCTATTTAAATTGTTATAAATCTACGTTTATGCTACTTCACCATTAAATCTGGATTATTTTCGAATTTTGTATTGTGTTTTATTGTTTTGAAAAGCTAGGAGACATGGAGAAGCACTTTTTATATGCTGTATTGCTGCAAATTTTTCCATCCGCAGCCTGAGCCCCACTTTCTTTGGGGTCCTCGGATATCGTTGTTGTGTTGTCATACCTCAGACATCTATACAAACAGCTGCTCCCTATTATACCGCTCCACCCATTTGTCTTGCCTCAAGGTCCGTCATTCAGAGGGCACAGGGGCTGGCCATCCATGACGCAGAGCTCGTTGCGCTTGTACTTGCTCCAAGGATGCAATGCTTGTGGGGCCATTCCTTGCATCCAGTAGACGAGGTCAATCTGGAACATCAGATCAAGCACCTGCATCCGCTCCTCAGTCGGAACCCACTTGTGCTTGGCGAAGAAGATTCTTCGGTAAAGCTCCCAAGTTCGTTGTGGCTTCTTGTCGAGTCCCATGCGATACCGATCCATAGTACTGTTCATGAGCGTCACTGCTTCGTCCTTGGTAAACTCGCATTCTCGACCCGGGAGGGTGGCCACTTGGACCTCGCTGGGACAGTCGATTGCAATGCCGTAAGGTGTATCGCCGAACCAACTCATCAGGGAAAGCAGAGGCAGCGGAAGCCATAGGTCAATGTTCTGCTCGAGGGTTGTAATCTGATCGTACCACTAGGTTGTTGATCGAATTAGCCATCCTTGTTCGGGAAAGCCTCGGTGGGGTATCACTTACCAATTTAGCGTCAATACCCTTGGGAAAGTACTGATCAAACCATCCGGGGGACGGGACGAGGTCCAGTGCGGCCGTATCCCGGTGGATACCTCTCATGTTCATCATGCCCAACATGTTGGGGTACATCAAGAAGACTTTGTCAGCGTCCGGCGGTGGTACTTCCGGATACATTTTATAACGATCGACGTTTTGATGGTCGTCTTGAAGGACCTGTGCTGCATATTTTGTTGACGTTAACATTCGATTGCCATGGGAGAGCAACACCAAACGTTGTCCCTTTTGGTCTCCACCGAGGGATGCACACTCGTCAACCTGAGCTTGGTCGTTGAATATGCTAGCCTTCCTTTGTACAGAAACTGAGTCAGTAAACGCTCGAAAGGATTGTTCCGGGAGAAACGAGGCTGTGTCAGGAGACGTACATGAATGGCACACCGCGGTCCAAGTCCTTTTCTCCCCAATCTTCGCCACCTTGGAGTGTGACTGCGTCATTAAGCTGCACTTTCAACTCCGCAAATATACCATCAAGCACTGCATCGATATGGGATTTATCCGCTCGCATCTTCTCTGCAAGTTCATCGTCAGGTTCCTCTTGTTCATGCGGAACTATGTCTTCATCCACCTGACCGGCACCCTCTGGCGAGAGCTTAGTCTCGAGGATTGTTTCCGCTGTAATAGCCTTCTCATCGCCATCTGGCGGCTCTTCAAGCTGTGGATTCAACTTGGAAGCAGTTCCGCCAGGGTTCGAAGTGGGTTGTCCCAGACTTGAAGGGTTCCGGGGAGAAGAGGGCTGAGTGGTACTCGCAGGTGTCATTGTATCGTACTTCGTGAACGAATCACCAAGGTTGCTGCCCATCGAAGACTGGCGTCGGTGACCTGCCGTTGCTGAGAAGGAGTTGCGTCGAGGCTGTGGGTGTTGTAAGATCGGATTCGGTCGAGAAAGGCTGCTGCTGTGGACGAATTCAGTAGGCGACTGTGTATTCATGTCTTGGTAAACTTGGCGAGCATATGCGTTCAGCTGGGGTGTACCAAGTCCAACTGGCGCTCTCTGCTGGGGAGAACGAGCGAAGGGAGGTTGTGCTTGTTGGAGAGGACCGAATGGATGCCGGCCGGAGGGGAATGGAACTGGTTGTCCGAAGTTCGGTTGTTGGTTCAACTGAAAGTCGAGACCAGGTGTGAATTGAAGTTGTTGTGGTTGTTGAAACTGAGCCAGTGGACTCGATTGACAAAGGTTCTACGCGCGCGACTGCCTTGCAAGCAGAGCTTGTTCGAGGTGAAGAGCTTGCTGGGTTCGAGGAATCGGAGCAAAGTTCGATGGCTGAGTGCCGAACCCGTTCTGCTGCGGCAATCCCTGAAATTGCTGCCCACCAAACTGCTGCGGAGAAACTTGCATGTGCTGGAGTTGCGGGGGAAGCTGCTGCTGAGGTATCTGCGACCCCCTACCAGCGTTTGGCGGACGAGCTGGAGCGAACCCGCGCTGATTGCCCGGCCGAGCAACCACCCATTGAGACCGCTGGCGACTGCGGGTCTGGGAAGCGACGCGTTGATGGTACGAAGGACCCCCAAGATTTGTTTGAGCATGCCCTTGACGACCAGGCGGACCGGGAGGACTACTAGACAGCCCCTGATCAGGATGGGGCGGATCTGCCATGATATCGAACCCGCTCGAGGAGATGATGGCGAAGTGAGTGTTAGTGAGGCGAAGGCGACAAAGTGAAGCACCGCACAGTGAGGCACCGCGAGATGAAGAATGTGAAGAGATGAACACGAATTAATGAACACTGTGTGGAGGTTGGACTGGTTCTGGAGCGTGAAAGTTCGTGAAGTTGTTTCCAAGATTGAAGGACAAAATACTACAATCGGCTTTGGAAGTAGCGAAGTAGCGCCAATATGCCTTTATTAAAGCAGCGATGGCAGCGAGAGAGAAGCAACGGAACTGCTTCACTTCACGATACCAGATAGCGGCTTGATTGGGGGACTGCTTTGATCTGAATATTAGGTGAAAGGCGGGAGCAGGCACTAGCTGGACCTTAGGACGTGAGACCGCACCCAGGGGATGTCATCTCATTATTTGAAGTCAGTGAGAAGATGGGAACAACAAACGTCTCAAAGAATGTGCAAAATGATTTCGTTAGGTCACATCAAGATCACGAGAAGGGTTTCCATGGTTGAAGAGGGAGTTGTCCCAAGATAGGAGGGCTAAACTCACTTACTACAGAAATTGACAATCAGCCCGGGGAAAATCCCTCCCACGTTATTCCAGTACCCCAAGAAAATATGGCAATTGGAATAAATGAACTGTATAAAAAGTTGAGTGCACTTTTGGATTCCTTGCATGCACAATTGTTCCTTGATGGAGAGCCATTTCTTGTAACACCTGTGCTAAAGTCAGCTTGGGGAATTCAATTTGAGCTCTATCGAGACCGAAGATATCTTCTTTCCAACACCCGGAATTGTCTCCTCTTCCATCCATGCTTAAGTCTAATGAAAGTTGCTCCGGAGCTGAAGCCCATGAGGTGTCGTCTGGACTGGCGGCTGTTGGCGAGCAAGCGAGTGTGGGTCTTCGCTGCTGCAACAAAGGGGCAAAGAACCAGCGTAAAGCAACTGTAAAGTGCGCGGCAACCTGGATAATGTCAAAATTTGCTCCCTTGTGAGACATTTAGGGGCAACAGGGCTTGAATTTTCAAGGACTCGTGAGGAAGGACTGGACTTCAATGTCTTGAGAACGTGCTAGAACATTGAAATGCAATGGGAAAAGCTCCAGATCCTCTATTAATTCTGGACTCGAAAAGGCTTATTAGCTGCGATATCCATCATACATATCAGCCATCGTGGTCGAAAAGTTCCGTCGCCTGCTTATCAGAAACCCCTCCTCACTCCCCTCCCATCCTGAGCTGTCCTTCAGTTGGCGTCCACTTAAATTTGTCTTGAAACCTAGACATTAAAAACATCAGTATTACCCACTTACTCAACCCCCACTCCCCTCCCTCCAAAATCTCTGTGGAAAATGCCCTGAGAACAAAACCACACTCACTCAAACATAGCCGCCTTCATCCCCTCCTCGTAAATATCCTTTGGAATCGTTTCGACAAATTCCCAGTCCTTCAATGTCCAAGGCCGTTGATATTTCCGGGATGTCGTTTTCTCGCGCGAGAGTATGAGCGCTCCTGCTTTGCTGGCGGTGGGAGAGAGCGGGCGATCTCGCCGCTGCGCCGATGGTCTTCTCTGAGTAGAAGGTTCAAGCTGCTGGGGCCGCCGTTGGGCAGAGGGGTTGTAGCGGTTATTGGTCGACGTCGTGTGAAGCTCCGTCCGTGGAAAAATTGGAAATGCTGACGAAGGGGAAACAGTTCCACAGATGGAAGAAGATTTTTGATTTGATAGATAAAGGAACAATGATAGAAAGGAATCACAGATGAATGTACGGAATGGATCTGAGGGATCTGAAATCATTTGAAAACGGCACCTATTGGGTATAATCACACATCATATCTACTTTGATATCTTGAGTGATGATTGTTGAAGTCGATCCGATCTACGAAACTCCCGCAACGCCTCGGGAATACTCTAGCGTTGAAGTTCTCCCACTCAACATCACTCCTGAATCACGATTCAAGCGACAACACCTTGGTGCTTCTCCGCCCATTCCTTAACCTTCGAAAACAAGGCCTTCTTCCTCTCCTCATCACACCAACTCCCCTCGACCGCCCCCTCAGCAATACCCTTCCACTCTCCCAAACTCAGCCCAAACGCCTCCTGAACCGCACAATAATTATCCAATATATAACCCCCAAAATACGCTGGATCATCACTATTAATACTAAACCTCACTCCCTTATCCAAAAACTTTCTAACCGGCAAATCTGCAACCTTACTCACACACCTCAGTCTAACGTTGCTGAGCGGACACATAGTGATAAGCGTCTTATCTTTCGCAACTCTCTTTAGCAACGCCTCATCATCCACCAACCTAATCCCGTGATCGATTCTCTCCGTATGGCAAATATCCAGTGCCCTCGAAATATACGTCGAATCTCCCTCCTCACCCGCATGCGCTGTCCTTCTGATGCCGGCGGCTTTGGCAGAAGCATACACTTCCCTGAATATCTCCGGCGCAAAGCCGACTTCACTGCTATCAAGCCCGATTCCAGCCACTGTGCCATTCGAGAAGTGACCCAGCGCCACAGCTTCCTGGTATGCAACATCCGCGTCGGCTTCCGACATGTGTCTCAGGAAACACAGAATCAGCTTGCTCGTCAGCCCAAACTCTTTCTCCGCGCGATTTTGCGCAGCAGCCAAGCCTTCCACAACGGTTTTGTATGCAATGCCGCGGTGCGTGTGTGCTTGTGGGTCAAAGAAGATCTCTGCATGGAGAACACCGTCGGCGTGGGCGCGGGTGAAGTACTCGTAGGCTAGGGACTCGAAGTCGGCAGCAGTGATCAGCACCGACATGCCGATGAAGTAGTAGTGCAGGAAGTCATTGAGGGATGTGAAGTGCAGATACCGCTCTTCGAGCGCGGCGACAGAGGCGAAGGAGGGGTCAATGTCTGGGTTGGGGAGGGGCACTTTGTTGAGTTCTGCGAGACGGAAGAGGAGGGAGGGCGAGAGGGAGCCTTCGATGTGTAGGTGGTGCTCACATTTTGGGAGGGCGTGGAGAGCTTGGTGGATGGGGGATTTGCACATCGTGAGGTGGTGGGGTGTGTATCGATGGGTGAAGTTCTGGAGATGAGGACTTTGGGAAGGACTCGTAGGAGCAGAGAGGAGAGATGGTTGCTGTATCTTCAACTAATTGATAAGCACGCTGCAGAGAGCTGTCTCACTTGTTTAGCGTTCAAGATACAGAGTTCTATATGGGCGGGTGGAAGCTTGTCTCCGACTTCAAGGAAAGAGAAGAAAGGAATAATGAACGTGAAGTAATCCAAACCGAAAGCCTACCAAAAGATTCAGCCATTCACTCTAATATGAACCCCTCACCCGTCCCCAGCCGGGCGATTGACATTACAAAAATATACAAAAATGTGGAGTTTTGCCGTGGCAGAATTCTCTGCTCAATTGATGACGCTTCACCGCCCAACAGGTCCCCTGGAAAACGGCGCCTTCCGATTTTAACTTACTCTACGTCTTCACCCCCATTTCTTCGGGTTTGTATCGTACTCGCATTGAACGCCGCTTCTGCCTCGCTCTCGCTGTCAAACAGTTGTCGTCGGCACTCCTCGCCAGCAGCACAATGTCTCACAATTCGGATGCGTACCTGATCTTGTCTTACCCACCGGTACCTCCCCGGCTGCCACGTGAGGCCCACTTCATGCGCCGTCTTCTCGAACCATCAATCTCCTCTTCGAGCCCTCTCCGATGGAGCACTCGGAAAAGTTTGCGAATCTGATCTACATGCGCTAGGAGTTCGGATCGGATTGTTTGTTTCAGCGTTACACAATGCTGCATTTATTATTAAATAAGGCAAGGGCAGCGAGGGGTTAGGGCAGGAGATGTTTGCGACTGTTTGCGAAAGCGAATCTCGGAGTGAGATTCGGCGCCTCGTATTACGAAGCTTTATGCACAGGGTGTTTTTTGATATTATAGTGAACGAGCCATGGAGCTATGGACGGAGGGACTGAAGACCTATCAATAAGTGTCATGTGCTATTGTCACACAGCTGTCCGCATCATAGTGTTGATCTTACTTAACGTGAAGAGTGTTTCCTCTACCCGTTTGAGGTGGATTTTCAGGTGTTTTCTTTCCACTTCGACGGCTGCGTAGGCCGAGGCCAGACTGATCAGTAACATCGTTTCAGATTTCCCATGCGGGAATGCCGTTCTGAATCGACCTTGATCGACAAGGTGGAGACCGCGATCGCCCATGGAGATTCTTTGCAAATATCAGTACTGTACTAAGAGTGACTTCTGTCAGGGCCTGTCAAGTGCAGGGAAATCCCTTGAAGAGTTGTACGAGCAGTTGTCGTTCGTCACGCCGAGGGTAAGAACCCAAACTCAAGCTCGGATACTCCCTTCGGCAGTCAGCCGTACCAACAGGAAGCTTTCCTTCAAACTTCCATAACGCCTCGGTCTGAGAGCTTGGATCGGCTTCTGAACTTCTCTGACGTTGATGGCGGGCGAGAAGCAAGGGTGAGGCTGTGCAAGGGTCAAAACATCAAAAAAACTGACAAGCGTTCATCAGTCATCGCTGGAGTTATCGCCGACACCTATCGCGGAAGAAACCCATCATGGGACAGAAGCTCCGGCCTTGGGCAAACACCAAAACTCGCAAGTCTCTTCTTGGCCGAAATATCTCTGGTCGATCACATCCTTAGAAACGGATCACCTAGGACCAAAAGGCCCATCCATAGGAGCCCTATCTACGACATCCCACCTCTACTCGTACTCCAGGGAAATACGTCCAAAGTCTTCACAGAGCCGCCTAACTTAAGCAGGTAATAATTCACGAAATCTGGAAATCTTATTGGACATTTTCCCTGGTTGTCGAAGAACCCTCTAGAAGTCTTGGCAGGACATATTACCCCGAGTACCATAGTAGCCGTTTCCTTTGAGAGATCAGCAGCAAATTCCTTTGGCGAGCCAGCGGGTCCTTCGGTAATAACTTCTGTGCAGAGGACAAACCCTGCCCATCAAGTTACTTTGCGCCACGCGGAACCGCTCAGGCGGCATGTCTCACGCTGCCAGGGTCCTGTTGAAGAGATCCATCCCAGGAACTTGGGACATAGGCCAAAAGCAAAAAAAAAATCCCATCAGCGATATCGATGCATCACATACTGTACAAAACAAGTCCACGATCAGCACGAGACCATGTTTCTCGTGCCCCATTCACTCGAGTGGCGTTCTCAGGTGGGGTGTTCAGATTAAGGTGTCCCTTTCAAGTCCAGGTGGCGAGCCCAGCAAAAGTTTATCTGATGCGGATGCATCTTACCATGCGAGGGTCCTCGACTTTCTCGGGTCACTAGATCGATCAAAACACATGCATGGCTTATCCGCGGTAGGACCTTGACATGGCATGGAACAGGTCTTTGAAGATCTGGAAGCTTGCCGATCTTGATACATTCCTTGACATCAGAGTTCGGGTCTGGGGTTCACTTTGCGAATGCCCACTTATGCGGTTGTCGCTTCTAGAAGGTTAAAGGTAAAATCAGCAATGATTCATTATGACATAAAAACACAACACAGTATTATAGACTCTGAACCAGGACTATCGTGACGGTTTTCTCTGATTCTTTTTGTTTGGTTTCAGTCAGATCGCCGTTTCCTCCCAGGATACAAATGCGCCATTTGCCGCCATCTGGGGGAGCTTGCCGGTAGGGGTTCATCCGAGACTGAAGGGAACGTCCAGGTTGTGAGTCTCCATATCGAGGCGGATATGCTTTTAAAAGGTCGTAAGAATGAACCGGCAATTAGACTGGAAACTTAATCCTTCTAGCTGACGTGCTATCGTTGGAATGGTAAGCAGGCTTCGCGTCGTCCCCAGATTTTTTTACTTCAGACCAAAATGCCCCGCCAGACCTCTTGAGGAAGGGTGTGCCGCGCGTTGGTGTTCGGGCTTCAGGCCGAAGTTTGCTGCTGGACACTGGCACCTCGGTTCCTTGTTTCTCTTAATGATTATTGGGAGCAATAAGACAGCACGAGATGGTTCATCTCGGCCCTTCATCAATTAAGATTAAATACAGTATTCCTTACTTATCCTATCAGAACCACAGTATACCTTATTGCAATGACGCTGGTAGTACAGTACAATGACTTTGTTTTAGGTTTCACCTCAGGACGTTGAGAAACCGCCAAGGGCACCTTATTACTGGCTCGCGGCAGTCGGATGGGCGGGCTGCTAGTGGGAGAGTTCTGGATGCGACTGCAGGCTTCCTACAGTAAACCCCTTTTCCGCGTCTCTAACGGTGCCAGCGCGCACATGCCCAAATGCTTTCGCTGGCCAAGGGAGATGCTGGGCCGGACGTAGCTAGGGAATTCCCGAATCGTCCGGGGCAAGCACCAGCAAAGGTTCAAGCGGTTAGCTTCCTTGTCGGATCTTTCCTGCTCTCCCTTGGCCATTCGGCACGAATCCTCCACGCATGATAAACTAAACTTTCCGTCCACAGCCCGCGTCCACCCCACATGTGCAGCCCGCCGCTGCTCATCCCGTCGGAACATGCCAGGAGTTACTAGCACGTCTTCAGGGCTGGTTGCGAAACAAGCCCAGATGCCGTCTGCGGCGACGAGTGACGAGTGACGAGGTCCCCAAAAGTGTAAAAGGGCACAGGACGGACTGTACATCACTCCGCACCGAGTCTCTGAATACGTCTACTGCACTCGCCAGTAGTGGCCCCTCTCCACCGTCTCCCTTGCTCCAGTGGCCAGCCCAACCGTCCCAGCGATCCAGCGCTGCGGCGCTGCCCTTCCGGATCGTCGCTGGAGGCAAAAAGCAAAAAGAAGACGCACAAATCGAACAAGATGAAACGCCAGAGGAGGTGCATCGACTTCCTCATTGGGCTGGTGGCTGTTGCGGCCCCTCATGGACCGACCCTTCACCCAGAAAAGACTAAATGCAGTTCATGGACTGCATGGCGTAGAATCGGATGAGACAGCGAGCCCTCAAAAGGCTCAAACTCATCCCAGCTGGTCCTTGTCCCGGTCAATAATAGCACACTCTGTCTGGTCTGGTCTGCCACTCCGCCAGCAGCCCAGCGCCAGGGTTCCGCCAAAGAGCGTGCTCCACCACAGCCTTGCATACATTGTCATGCGTCCTCGGCCGCCTGCCACTGCTGATCTTGTTCGGGACATGGGCCTCGAGACATCCTCTGAACTCCCCTGGTGACATCGCTTCAAGCTGCGACCACTGCAAAGACGTGCTGGGGCAAGGGTTGCAGGTACCACCTCTTAACCAGCGCGACCTCCTCCGCAAGCCAGGATCAGAAGCGGCAACGCCATTTAAACCCCCTCGTGGGAGCTATTACTTCCGCTCTGGGTCAAGCCTAGCTGGCCAGCTGTATTATCGTTCAAATATAGTTCTATACCCACATGCTGTGGAGGAAACTGACGAGTTCCACACACACTTCTACACGTGCCTCTGCATATTCTGAGGTGCAGACGAGACAATACCAGAAAACTTCACTTCGAGGACGGCGAAGTATCTTTCTCCAGAATCCACGGTCACCATCTCGCAACTCACTGGCTTTTCACAAGTCGTCCTTGTGAGACTATCCTCGAGTCGAACCCACCTCAGCCGGGCCGTTGAAGTTCCTCTCAACGGGCCGAGCTATTCGGCAGCCTGTGCCGGAAGCAGACAGCAATCCAGACCTACATATGCAGTGAACGCTGCAGGACGCCAGTGTACGTCACCTGCCGAAAAGTCTGCAGGCTGGATCAACAGCGGCCAGTGGGAGTGTGTGTATCTCCCATCAAACAAACTCCCTGGTATGTGTTTTTAATCTATCTGAGTGAGCGATCCCTCCTTTCCAGAATCATTGGCGGCGGCTCGTCAGTACCGAGCAGCCTGCTTGTCCGCAATGCACATCATGTCCCGGTGTATGACAGAATTCCTCCTTCCTTTCCGACCCGGCAATCAAGAGTAGGGCACGAAAGGGCATGTGTGCCGCTGGTGTTCGAAAAGGAATTCCCAGGAAGGTCCGGAGAAACGAAATCGGGCGAGGGTGCCACTTCCTCCCCCCTCTCCCAAGGGCTTACCTCACTGGCTGTGACGTGCCCTCCTATCCCTTGCTAATGGTTGTGGGTGTCGTGGAAGTCCAGCGCAAGGGTCCGGCTTTGCCATGGCCTTTTGCGTATTCAGAACAAGGTTATCCGGGAAGCAGGGAGGGTAAGCTGGTCAGGGCTGCTCATAAATATTTTGCGCTTCTCTGCCCTCTGCCTTTGGTTCAAGTGCTGGCAAGCCTGGCTTACTTGGCACTGGATTACTCCAGATTTCCCAATCAGCCTTAGAGCGGAAGACCAATGCTGGGGCTCCTGGCCGCCCCCCTCCCCCTTCCTACTTCAGCCCACACCACTTCAGGCCCTTCCTCACTTAAATTTCTACCCATATCTGGCCCCATCTTTGCCCTCTCTGTCGGCAATTTTCTTTCCCAATAGATCTTTACCGCACCAATCACTATCTGTGTCGCCCGGTATAGGCCCCTCAGCCGACGACCGCCTCTCTGAACGTACGTAGCTGATCAATACCCTGTCACAGATTCAACTCCAATACGGTACGGACCAGCTGCCGACATTTGGTACCTTTGCGGACTTCTGGGAGTGGTGTGGAGTGGGGAACCTGCGATCCAGCCCTCCACGCAACACACTTGCATCGGAACTAAGCAGCCCTAAGGTTGCACCAAACTGCAGCCCGGCGGCGTGTCACGGATCTACCAGATCAGAGATACCATAGAATTGCTCACGGAGAAAAAGTCTACTTCTGACTAACACAATCCTTGGATCCTTCCGGGTTATCACACACCACCTCACCTGCTCCCAACAAAACACCCGCATCGAACGTTCGTGGATCACTTCGATTGCATTCTCCAACTCTTCCCAGCACACGTGTAAAAATTGTTGCAATGAGGCTGGAGCTTTGAACTTCTTCAGCTATTACCTGTCTCGCTTCTCTCTCTATCTCAGACCACATACACCCCGTTAGTTCCATTTTGGATAAAACAACCGACTTCCGGACTTTACCATGGCTGGGTCAACACATAATACATACTCGAGGTCTCCAATACCTTCGACAACATCTTATGATTCTTCTTCGGTCTCGTCCGCCACCTCACCGCGTCCAGGGCCGTATGAAGGAGGGCTTATGGGAGCCTCTCCACGGCCAATGAATGCACAACATCCTCAGCATATCAACATGCCATCCGGTCTTCCAGGCCATACGTCATTTCAAAACACTTACGGATCAGCGGCAACGTCTCCTGGACCTCCGGGGATGGAGTCAATGGCGTCCACATCCTCAAGCGGAACTCCAGGCGCTTCGGGAGGGCAAATGTCGTCTGCCAATATGTCGGCACAGAAAAGGGCTTACCGACAACGGAGGAAAGATCCGAGCTGCGATGCCTGCAGAGAGCGGAAAGTCAAGTGCGATGCAACAGAAACAACCAGCTGCTCAGAATGCTCGAGCCGCAATGTCAAGTGTCAATTTACAAAAGAGACCAACCGGCGGATGTCATCTATCAAGCAAGTACAGGATTTGGAGAAGCAGATTACACAGATCAAACGGGAGAATTCACAGCTACGGTCGATGCTAAATGGTCGAGAGGGCCAGATGGATATCGATAGTGAGGGGCCTCAGCAAATGCAGATACAACTACCAGAAATTGGTTCACATCCCAAGAGGAGGCAGAGACCGCCCCCTCCCCAGGAACTCTCACGGGTACGGTCGAATATCCGAAACTTCGGCCGGGGTATCTTCAAACCGCCTGCACCGTACCGGCAAATAGGGTCGCAAGCACATTTCAATCCTCCTCGTCCGGATCTTCCCCCGAAACACATGGCCGACCATCTTCTTGGCTCCTACTACGCTTCAGTGCATATGATAATACCTATTCTGCACTGGCCCACGTTCGAGGGGGAGTACGAAGCTGTCTACAAAGCGGGAAGTCTACATGGTGTTCCTCCAGTATGGAGCTCCCTCTTCTTTTCTGTCTTGGCAGTTGGCGTTCTGTTCAGTACGGAACCCAGTATTCACAGGCCAAATAAAGGCAAGGAATATATCGAAACGTCCCGGGTGCTCATAGACATGTGGAATGATGAATTTGTCATTGATCACGCAAGAGCAGCAATCTTGACCAGCGTTTTTCTTACGGAGATGAACCTGAAATCAGCGGCGTGGACGTGGCTTGCCTCCGCGGTTCGAATAGCCCAAGATATTGGTCTACATTGTGAGACAGGACCATGGCCCATGATTGAAGGAGAAATGCGGCGCAGAGTATGGTGGGGAATCTACGTTTGGGACCGGCATATGTCTCTTGAACTTGGACGGCCCCTACTAATCGAAGACGCTGATTGCGATGTTAGTCTCCCAGCGGCCATCGATGACCACTATATTCACGATGCGGGGATGATGGTCCCTAGTGGCGTTTCTCCGCTAACCAACTTTATCTTGCCTATTATACACGTTGTCCGCTCTGTTTCCCAGCTCATCAAGACATTGAAATCACTCATGATCTCACCTTCAACCCTTCAGACCTTCGACACACACTTCAGCTCTTGCATGGCAGCATTTCCTCCATCTTGCCAACTTACCGCACACGAGCCTCTAGATCCTCGCATACTAGCTCCCGTATGCCATCTCATGAACGCTCGCCTCATACTTCACCGTCACAATCTCACTACGTCTTGTCCACCGGAAGTCAGGGGAAATGCAATGGAGCAGTGTATTCGAGCAGCACTTGACTCGGCGAATTTGGTTGCAAGAGCAATGGCATCATCGACTCCCTCGAATCCATCAACACCTCCATTTGGTCCTACCGCGAATGCTATGACATGTACGCACATCTGGAGATGCACTCTATTCCTGCTATTCGGTGGCCATTTCGACGCTGCACTCACTTGCATCCGCGCTTCTGCGAGCATCGCTACTCTTCGGGACGTCAATGTGGCATGCGGTCGAAATGTGGCATTCTTTCTAGGAGTATTGATTGAGAAACGACGGGCGGGAGGATTGGTTGGAAGCAAAGGGTATCGCAGGGAGCGGGAAATGGATGAGGAATTGATGGCATACGTCTCCGGGGACCTACAAGCCAGTCCAGAAAACAGTTGGATTTGGACAGGCAGCGAGACAGGCATGAATATAGTGGGGAGCAGCGGAGCCGCAAAGATAGGCGCAAGCCCGACGCTACTAGGCGGTGGGAGGGAGGAGGGCACGAACGTCCTTACGGATGTGGAGGCTCGAGACTGGGGAGGTTGGGAGCGAGTGGAGTACTTGGTTGGCGTCCTGGCACGGGAACAAGGCGGTTACGTACAACCTGTGCACGCTAGCTACGGATCTGGTTCAAGCGGAGGGGGCATGGGTTTCGAGAGGAACCAAAATCAAGATCGGAATAGAGGCAACGAGCGGATGAGCATCACGAATATCATTTGAGCGAGGAGAGCCATACATTCTAGCCCGGGTGCCTGGCTACACAAAACTTGGGGGTTGTATATCTTCGGCTGAACAGGAACGGGATGCGCATTTGTATAATGTAGTATTGGGGAAAAGTCAAGCATTTGTGAGAAGGGGAAGGGGAGGATATCACGGTTCGGCCCCGGTCTTGGATTGAGTGGGCCCACACTCGCATGGTTGAACAACAGACACGTATACGAACCATTCCTGGCGTTGGCGCTTAGATAGTAGACATACAGTGGTATATCGTTCTCACAACAGTCAGAACCAGAACCAGGTGCCCAGATCGGCTGGTGCTGTACTGTAATAATGGCAAATGTCATTTAACTCATCGCTGGTTGTGTTAGTGCAACTGTATTCCTTGTCTTTCCCCTTTCCACAAAGCAATTAAGCTTTTCAGGCATGTTCATCCCTTCTTCCACGTTAGGAGGATCTCGTTAGGGTATGGTACAGTCTAGGAAATTTAAATGCAAAATGATATGCAAGATCTCTCGGCATCTGCCCGGGCAACGGGACACTCCTTGTCATGCAAGGCAAGGCAAAGCATGGCAAGGCCCCATTCCCCTGAATTCTAAACCTTGATGTTGAGAAATAAGCTCCGCCTTGGCAATGGAAGTCACTCCGGAGCGGTGCGGTAGCCTCTGCACACTACTCTAACAAGCGGGCTGAGGCAGTTCCAGACGAAGAACGTCAAGTCTGATGAGAAGTTGAGGTAATGTTGAGGTTGGGGCGCCAAATTGACAGGGGCAAGCGTGGTATTGCAGTTTCTGAATCGAGTGGCTTGCGCAATCTATTCGCTACGCTCCCCCGGACTTGCATCCGAGGTGCTGGTTGTCTGTCCTGTACCATACGAGGGAATCAAATCGGGGTTCGCAACCAGAGGCCAGGGCAAACGAGTTTAGGCGGCATGCAAAGTAGGTGTGGGGTGAGAAGGGATCGGGTTTCCTGCTTCTTCCGAGTCCGATCCTGGGGGGTGTTCTAGGCGCTCATCCGAAACCGAGATTGGCATTGGTGAGGATTTGTGCTAGCGGTGTTATGAGCGTGCAGGTGTCATAGTTATGGCTTGTTATGGGGTGGCTGCATGCATGGAAGAGAGCTACTGGCTAAATAGGCGTGATACTGTGGGGAAGACTCGACTCACGATTTCGTGTTGTTGTTCCTTGTCGTTGATCTGGGTTGGGACAGTCGAGACATTTTGAAAATGTTCGAAGCTATTTAGAGTTTGTCGTTGCATAAGTTCCAATGTTCTATGCACAAATCTTCCACTGAATAAGTTACATCACGGATCTACTGTGCTTCTCCGTTTTTAATGCCTTCTCCACGCTTTGACTTCGTTTGGTCCTGATATGCTCCTATTGGAGCTTTGGAAGCTGCAAAAAAGGAATTTGCGTCCAAACACATATAGACCTTTTGGTGGCAAAGTTTTACTTTGAATCGAATTCTGTGCCTCTGAGTCAGATTTGACGACATCCTAACTGTTATCCACCCATGTCCCCTCATTGAAGCTTCAAGAATCCGATAGTTGGCTTAAAGAGTCAGTAAAGGAGTTCATCCCCTTCGGCTTCCACCTGCAAAACCCTCAGAATGCGCGTTTCTGGTGGCTCGGCTACCGCTACCAGCCCCTCAAACAGCCTCCTGAACCGATTTACGGTAAGGAGTATATTCCTTTCCAATGCTCTGGATATTTTATGTAGTTATGATTATCACCTTTGGTGAGGATCGAGTGGTTAGAGGTCTGGGGTGGCACGTGGTTTTGCTGTGTCATTAGAGCTCTACAGCGCCGTCTCTCCCGGGGCCGTAGCATCAATCTACACTGGATCTGCCCTGAAACAAAGCCCAAAGAGAGGCTCAAAGAGTTCAAAAAGAAACTTAAACCCCTAAAGACGTTCTAGGAATCAGGAACAGCATCCAATATCGCAGCATGGTGAGCTTTTCTTTCCTCTTGTCCTTGCTCATCATGCGGTTGTGACTGGAATATCGGCAACGGCTTGAATCTTTACGGAAATTGAAATCCACTCGAGTCTTCGGCGATTCGAGTCGAGAAGGGCAGGAAAATTTGACCCGTGAAGGATTTAGAACACAACTAATGGGACTTAAGGCAACGATGAAAGACAAAAAAATAGGAAGACGTATTCTCCCAAGCTTGGGGATGGGTTGGCAGTTCAAGAAGAATGATCAAAGAAAGTATTCCCGCGAAGCTAGCAGATATCAATGCATGAAAATAATGAATGCCCAAAGTAATGGGAGCGTGCTACGAGAGCTGCAGTATTTGGGCGATGGGGTGATGGTAGCCATGTCCAAGCCACGGTGTATAAGAAGTGATCGAGCCCCTTTTCGCGTAATTTAGCGTCTCGCTTCGAAGGATAGGGGAAGCGCAACACAACTTGCCCTTTTGTATGGTTTTGGTTTTGTAAAACTTGCAATTAAATTCGAATTGAATACCATTTGAAAAAAAGGGTTCCGGTCCTCTTAATACAAGCTATTTCCTCATCTATATCGTAGAGTTTCAAATGAGGTTGGAAAGAGGTAACGCTCACTGCTTAGGTTTCCACTACGTTTCTTCCCCACATGGATTAGCCGCGGTAAATAAGTCGACATTGACGCCGCACTAGCTCCGCACTGTATGAAAGCTTTGAAGTAGGTATTTGTCTCCTGCGTTCGGCTTATTTGAACTTGACTTGTTTGCCGGGATAGATTGTGGGAGAATGTGGAGTTATCTCTTGAGCAGAAGTCGGAGATGCTTGCACATTTCCAAGATCAAGGCTCTCTTCTTAAACACGAACCTTGTGGGTAAATAGTTGGCAGTTACATAAAGACTTCTCCTGTTGTTCACTATTTCTGCTATCCCTTAATAGTGATTGAGTAAGATTTAAAATAGCGAGATAGTATAATTCGAAGAACTCGCTCCAAAGCGGGGGCACTACTGGTGTGGGCACAAATCCAGTTTAGTTCTAAACCACCGAGCGCGGCGTATCCCAGTTCGGATTTAGAGCAAGCTTTGATCACTGAGTTCTCATCCCGCAGCCGCTCATTGTATTGTTTATGTACTTTTCTAGTCTCGGTTATCTTAATATCCTCCAAAGGGTCGAACTGTACAAAAGCCGTGGGGCATTGATATGAACTAAAAGCTTCATAAACCCACTTCACCCCAGATCTGCCGGGCGAATTTTCAGAAAGTCAGACAGGGAAGTGAATGAGAAGGATTTCGATGATGATGTGTAGCTACCGAAGCCGCGAACGAGTTACTATGTGACGGCAAGTTTGCTATTGGAAGCATTGCCCTAGTCTAATTCTTTGGCTTGCCCGTTCATGAGCTTTTCGTCCTCTCTTAAACAGGAAGTTATCGGCCGATGACCTAATTAAGCAGGTTTGTAATTCTGTAAAAGCATCGAGGTAGTTGTAGTGCTATTGGCAGTCAGTTAGCAAGTGAGGCTGTGTGCTGACTAGTTCTACAAAAACGCGATCAGTAGTCATAGCAGTCTAAGGTACCCTAGTGATCACGAGATATAGAGAACTATTGAGATAATGCTTATTAAAACGTGTATCTCTAACCAGCTGGCTGCCGAGCATATTTACTTAGGCTGAAAGTCGACGAACTTGAATTCGGTTGGATTATTGTAGATCCTCCTAGACCTGCTCGATTTCTCTCCGGGACTACGATAGATGAGCAAGGCATACTTGAGCGTTGACAAACGACTGTGTGTGTTAATAACACGTCATTCTGTGCTTAGTCAGCTGTCTGTACTAAGGTTTCAAAGTTTTCAGCTCTCCTTAGCTAGACAACACAGTTAACATCCATCAATTAAACCTCCAATCAAGCTGTTTCTATCAGTCGTTTTCCATGATCCTAATAGTATAGAGCCATTCGTGCCCGGTTTTAGTAAATCTTCGAAGAAGCCGATATCAAGATATCCATTTCTGTCGGCTCCGTGACCGAGATCAATTTCAGGTCCGTCAACCAATACGAACGGCCAATTCAAACACCTTTTCAATCAAACTCAACATCTCTCATGGCCTCGTTCGACTTTAAACCGAAATCAGCGCATTCACGACTGCTGTAGGCACAAAGCATCACAAGGACATCTAGGTTACTCTCGGAGGCGTGCTCACGGATTCCTGCTGTACCCAAAAGCAACTCCTTATCATTAGGGGTTTTGAAGTGCTCATCTTTTTTGGGACATATTAAATGCCATCGCGCAAAGACATATTGGCCTTTCTCAGAGGACGCACGCAGGATGTCTCTGCAAAACAGGACAACTTGCGTCGGACGGTGGTCAGATCACCTACATACCACCCCATTGCCCATCGTGACTCGCGACTTCTTCACCTTTTCCCGGGACAATGGGAAGATCCTATCGCCTTCGACCTTGTGCCATTTTCGACAGAACTTGAAAGCCTACCTTTCTACGAGGCCGTATCATACACATGGGGAGACCAAACAGATTGCCTTCCCGTCACTTGTTCCGGTCGTGAAATTGATATCACTCTTAATGTCGCAGCCTTATTGCGTCGTTTCAGACTTCATGATAACATACGGTATTCCTAACAAGCACTACACTATTTACAACCACCAAATAGCTAACAAAAAATGGCAGGTTGTTATGGATCGACGCTGTATGTATCAACCAAAAGGATGACAGAGAGAAATCGATCCAAGTTGCCATGATGGACACTATCTACAGAAGAGCTAACCGGGTATTGATTTACCTGGGAGAGTCCGACGGCCGCGATACTACAACAGTGATGAAATGTTTTGCGAAGCGGTTCTCTTCTCAGCATCTTGGCCTGAAGATATTCACCGGTTTTCTAGAAAGTCGTCCTTGGTTTAACCGGATCTGGGTTTTGCAAGAGGTTGCGTTGGCAGAACATGCCCTTGCTATTTGCGGGTCAATATGTATTCCATGGGCCTGTATTCCAGCTTGGTGGGCTGCTAACGTCGAAAACCTCCGATCCTCATTTGCACCTCCTCCAACTTTGTCCATTGATCCTATAGCGCTCAAACGCTCCTCTCTACTACAACAACTTCACGATACCAGGTTAAGTCGCGCTACGGATCCTCGGGACAAAGTCTACGGGCTGATTGGGCTTCTTTCACCTGAGGATGAGCTGAGTGTGATGGTAGATTACACTCAATCTATCGATATTGTCTACAAATATGTGGCTTCATCCATTATGTCACGAGTGAAATCCCTCAAAGTCCTTTCAGCAGTGGCAGCAATCAATACTCACGACCGTCCTCGGAGTTCTCTTCTTTCATGGGTTCCTGATTGGCAACAAGATCCGGGCCTGACCTCATTAGGATTATCGAATATGTACCTTGAACCTTATGGCGCTGGTGGCAGCGTTGCTTGCGGACTCCATATTTCCACTGATCACCTTCAGCTTAGCTGTCTTGGAATCAACCTGGACGTAGTTGAGTCACTTGGAGAATTGTGTCCAGTCCAGGCACCAATATCGGAAGGCAAGATTCTCCCTACCCTTAATCAATGGTGGCAATTGGTAAGTTAAATCCATCTTTAGATAATTGGGGCCATCAAGTAAAAACCTGAGTGATGGACACTAAAACTGACTTTAATCTCTTTCAAGCTAATTGGGACGTGGGAGACACGATCATCGAAATTACGGAGAAACACGAGTAAGCTTCTTAAAAACGCCGTCTCTTACGCACCAGATATGGGAATCTACTGCCGAGTACGCTCACCGGATGCAATCTTTGTCGAAAATCAGGGGCCGTACGCTCTGTGGTCCACTTTTAAGTAGGGATGTAATTTCCAGAGTTTTAAGGAAGCTGGAGCTTCCATAGAAAAACACAACAATCAAGCTTCATTTCAATAATCTTGTCCTCCTTCTTGTATACGTTGGCCGCATAACCTTCGTCAACGCTGCACCTAGGGACATTGTCGCCATCTTGGTTGGCGCCCCCGTACTCCATATACTTCGAAAGCAAGGAAATCGGTACAGTCTTATTGGCGAGTGCTATGCCTATGGCGTAATGGGTGGCGAAGCACTCGGACATTTGTGTGAAGATTTGAAACCGATGGGGCACCGATGTCGACCTTGTCCAAAGAGTAAATCCGATGCACAATTGGAAAGATTTCTCATAGAGTAAAGTTGATGGGCCTACAAATTTTTTGTCAGCTGTGCCGGGTTGAAGAGCAAGAATGCGAATTGCTTTGGGCATTTCCTAAATCTGTTGGAAATTGCCTGGTACTTTCTGCAGCTGAGGCAATCAGCAGGTCCAAGCAACCTAATGCCTACCCGAGCAGTTTTCTTTTGCACTTCAAAAGGGCCATTGGGCTCGTGCGCAGAACTGGTTAGACACGGAAAGGAAAGAAAGATGCTTATGAGTGGAAAGTGGAGGAAATCTGAGCCGCAGCAGTGCAAAAGCAGACCCTTCATTGTCCCTATGAGATACTTTAACCTTGAAATTGCTTCCAGAAACGCTGCTTGATTAATCCGGAGAAAAGGTATTCCGGTATGTGCCGTCAAGCACTGGTCAAGAAGAGGGGAGTTATAAGACGGAAACGCCAATTCGATTCCAAGACTGCTCAGTTAATCAAGCAAAATACCCAATGCACCTTGCCCCCACAAAAGAACAAATGCTCGCTTGCTGAACCACAATCCCCTATGCTCTAGCTCTGTCCACCAATCTTCTATATACCACAGGTCACAGAAAGCCGTTTATCCAATCTCCACAGCAGGCGCGGGTCTTGACTCACTCGAGACTTCAGCGAGTGCCATATAGTGCTGCGTTGTATGTTGGGTGTCTCTGTACGTCTCAACTTTCGGAACCCCTCCATATTGAGCCGTTGGAGATTGCGCATAATAATCCGACAGAGTGCTGGCATCCTCATGTCTCTTGCTGGGAATGTTTCTCCTTTTCCGGTAGAAAAGAAAAGCAGCCACGAAACAGCAAATTCCAATAACACCTATGGCAACCGCGATCCCAATCCCAGCTTTGGCACCACTGCTAAGTCCCCCATTATTTCCCCCATCTGAATTCGATCCGCCGGTGCCACTGGAGGAGGGCGAACTTGTTGTGCCGCTCACAGCTGATCCAAACGTTTGTGTTACACTACCTGATTTGGTTGACGAACTTGCAAAGTTCCAGCCGTTGATTTGGACACCATGGATCACGGATCCCGTCCCAGTTATAGTCATCGTTGTTGGTGCCCATGACCCTTCTGAAGAGCTCATGGGTGTGATGACTTGGCCATTTGTCAGGGTTGAGAAACATTCGTTTGCTGCAGGTGCTGGTGCAATGACATTTTGGTAACCATAGCCCCTGACACTCGTTAGAATCGTGGGGCGCTTCTGCTTTGAAACTTTCGAGTCCATTCAAATGACGCTGAGTAGAATTTAAAACTTACTTTGGACAGCATGCCAAGATTGTACTTAGAAGATTCATACTCTGTGTTGCCGCAGTCGTATACCCATTTGGACATGCCAGGGGCCCTAGATTCCAGAGTGTAGAAGCTGCGAGATCAGACTGATCCCACCATGTTGTTTGTTGATCCGGTTGGCACTTCAGCGCCGTGTTGACATTTTGGCCATACCATGGGTCGAACGCTCCTATTGAAGCATTGTTCTGAGGATTCAAATAAATAGCTGATGCACATTCTGGTGACAACGTTGGTCCTGCTGTCGTTAAAGGTACCCAGCTCGTAGTTAATCCACTTTTGGTTTCTGCCGCACGTGTTGCCATCTTGAAGTCAAGCTTTACTACTAATTGACAAAAACAGATTGAGGAGAAGATGATGATGCTGGAAGGCAGAAGAAATGTTAGGGGAGGCACAGCTTGAATCCTTGAAACACATTTTACATGCGAGCACGTTGTGAGGGGAGATAGAGTTACGAGGCGCCCAATCGTAACGCGAGGTGTTGCGGCGATCAAACCCCTACCCCGGAACTGCGGCGGCACAGCATCCTCACCGGAGTCTAATCCCTTTGGGGGAAGTTTCGGCCCTGAGAGAGGGTTCTTTGCCGAAACTGTTGGCCAGCTCAGCCACTCAAAGCCCTAAATTCAGAATCTAGCCGCTGGGGCAAGCGCCAGGAGATCAAGCTCTACCAAAATTTGAATGTGAACGCCAGACTCAATGAAGTCAACCCGAGAAAGAGGATCTTTGGAGTCAATTTAAGATAATTGGGTCCCTTGACGCCGAGTAGTCGCTGGAAAGATCGATCTTGAACAGTGTGGGGAATCACGTTCATGATTTGCGATTGGTTCGACTTCAATTTCCAGATATTGAGGGGTTTCAGTTATCAAGGGTGGCCCGTGAAGTTCAAAAGCTTCTTGAACCATTCAAAATAAATGTCCCCATCTCCGAACTGCAATTCAGGCCCCACCAACCATACTGTTCATACCATCAGCTTCTAACACACCTCCACAAGGTCATCATCCACGACCCATTCTGACTTTTATTACCCTCCCACCGATTCAAAGTAATGTAACTCTCATCCAACATGACATCCTTTAGCACACCACCTCTCGGAAACACATTCCCAGCATGAATGAACAGAAACATGGTCTGAACAACAAACATCGGCGCAGAATCCCCAATATATATGGCCCATCAAGTCCCCTTTGCACCGCAAGCAAAACTGACAATCCTTTAGCAACTAGACAGAGCGCTAGTTCTGGGAGTTCTAAAGCTTATTTCTCTACTAATATTAGGACCTTAATAGGCTAGGGGCACGGCGTTCGGCGCCTCACAGGAGCGTATACATACGTATACCTTAAGTGCAGGAAGCATACGTATATCCTTGAGGATATACTTCCTAAGCGATTACAAGGGACAGAGGGACGTGCGTCTTGCCCACCTTTTGTGCACGTACCGGGAGCTAAAGAATAGCCGAAAAAGAAAGCCTTCATCGTGCGTCAAGACTTGCACTAAAGCCCCTGCGTCCCTGCGGGTTTAGTGCGTATCATCGATACGGTCAAAAATCAGCAATACGGTCATTTTTTTTAGAATACCAATTTTCGGAATTTTGGTGAAAATCGAAGAAAAATATTTTACAGTTTATATAGAGTTTATACTATAATTAATAAATGAAATTCTCTGATTTTCATATCGCATATATATATAGTAAAAAATAGTAGAAATATTATATACTTTACCTTATTGGCAACCTCTCCAAAATACTACTGTTACGCTTTACCGCTTCATGTTGAAATTAGGGGCCTGAGGCCCCTAATAGGCTTAGTAAGCCCTGGAACAGAGCCTTAGGGGCTGTGTACTAATGGGGCTTAAGCCATAGGCTTATTACTGAGTAGATTATGCCCTGTAAGGTTGATACAGGGCATAATATGCCCTGTGAGGCTAAATCAGTTCAGCTGAGGTTGAATGGTTCAGTATAAGGCTCTCTGGTTTAGGGGTTTAGTGCATGTGACTTAGGGGGTTCAGGGCTATATATACAGGCTACTTACCACTGTAGAACAGCAGTCAATTCAGTACGTTTTACTTGGTTTACATTGCAAGCACGTGACCATAGCTATATTGCTTTAGCTAGTTCAACACTTCACTGGTAAATTCAGCGTCACGTGACCGTGATGACGCATGCGGCTGGGGCTAGTATTTAGAACACCAAAGCTCCTGTACTCAGAGCTTCTCTCCTTAGTTTAGAATCCTCGGATTAAGAGCCACTCTACCTGCTTTCTAAGCCCAGAGCCCGGTTTCGTGACATTATTCTAAACTCATTCTTGTTCCTGCAGAGGAAGTAAAACCACTCTCACGTTTTGCGCACGAGTGCGATTTTCACGGCAAATAGATACAAAAGGAGTGTGCCCCTGCCAATCCCTGTAACATCCCTGTTTTGCTCGCGTAGCATTCCTAAAATATGGGTGTACACCCAAAGGGGAAATAACAGGAGGCCAACTCTGATTAGAATATATAAGTACCCTCTCTGAGCAGACCCTAGAATAGGTGCTTATATAAAGAGAGAACTATTTAATCCCTCCTAATCTCCTATATTAGAAAATCGTTAATTCTGTAAGTTTTTCTATATAATACCCTATTTCTTATATACTATCTCGTAATTCTATATATATACTTGCCTTCTTGGATATAATATATATTTATTATTTTTATTTAAGGTATGTTTTTTACTAAGCCTTACAAATAGTTTTATTCTCTATACCTATAGCTTCTATACTATAATACTATATTTCTGTAATATTAATACTATAGTATATAATTTCTTATTTACTAAATAAATTTAAGATTTAACTTTTCTTTATTATAAAATTAATTCTATAATAAATAAAGTTCTATAAGATTAATTTTAAAAATACTTTTTAATATTATTTTAGTAAATTAAATTCTTTTCTTTTTATATTATAATAAATAATATAATATAAAATATTAAATTTATTAGTAATAATCTTATATTAATTAAGAAAATAAAAAGAACTTAATATAAATAAAAAAATTATTAATTTATATTTTTTTATTATTTAAAAATATAAAAAAAAATTAATATAAATAAGATATTTCAAATTATATTTTAGCTATTATTATAAGAAATATAAATACTAAATATAAATAAAATATAAGTTTAAGTTATATTATACTAGCTATAAAAGAAATTATTAAGCCTCTTATTAGTTTTATATAAGCTATAATTCTTTTCTTAGTCTTATAATATTATTAAAGTATACTAAAATATATTTCCTTATTTTTTACTTTATATATTAATTTATATTATAACTATCTAGTAAATTATATCTTAATCTAATTATTAAAAAAGACTTATCTAAATAAAGCATCTATATAGATCTGTTTTACTATATACTAGAATAGAAATAATTAATTATAAAAGTAAATATTAAATAATAACTAGCAGATATTAATTATATCTAGAATTATATATTAGAAATAAAAATCAAGTTCTAAGAAAGTATAGCTACTTAATTAGTTTATAAAATATAAAATTAATACTCAAAAATTAATTAATAGCTTACTAGAAGATTTCTATTATTTTTTTATAAGATATATATATATATACTTTAAGATACTAGACTCGAAATCTCCTATAATAATATAATAATATAGTCTATTCTATAAATATCTAGTATAGCTAGTAAGTTAAAATTCGAATTACTAAATTATATAAAAGAAATCGTATTTAAAAACTAATAATAGTATATTTTTATTAGTTTACTAGTAATATATAGTATTATTATATAAGTCGTAAAATGCTATTTATATATAATTAGTAAAGTTATTATTTAGAAATAAGGATTATAGTATTATAGTATTAATATATAATTCCTAAATCTACTAAGCCTAAAGGGGTCTAGTCTAGTAATCAAATTACTAATAGAATACAAGGTTATATAACTATATTTTATATCCTATATCTCATTACCTATATTTCATTACCTATATCCTATATCCTATATCTATATATATAACTCCTAAAGAAATAGCTATACTAATACTAGAAACTCTCTAAAAAACACAAAAAATAGTATCTTTCTCTAATTACATACAAATTCCCTAATCCGGCCTAGTACCAGATTCTCAAACATTTTATATATTTATATTACTTCTGAGGTTTTAGTTATATACTAAAGGCTATAGCCTTTTATATATAACTTCCCTTTCTATAATATTCTCTTATTCTATATATTTATTTTCTGTCTTATTTATACTTAATCTATTTCTCTATATCCAATTATATAGTATTTATATTAATTAAGTACTTAAGGGTATTTGTTAGCTTCGATTTCATTATAGAATTAGTAAGGTTCGATTTTCCCTTAATCTATTTAATTTCTATAATCTCTTATTATTTATATATTTAGTAAAAATATATTATATTAATTATTAGATACTTTTCTCGAGTAGTTCCCAATTTAATAAGATATTCGTATAATAACTTCGAATCCATATAGACTACTAGTAATAGTTCTATTTCTAGTATTCTATTAATTATAGATTTAACTGAAATACCTATATTAAACCCGTAAGCTATATTATAAAGTTCTAAAGCTAGAATACTTCTAATAACTCTCTTATATTTAGTAGAAAACTAATAAATAATATTAGTATATCTAGTTCTATTTACTAGAACTAGAATATATCCGATTTAGAAGAAGAGATCTCTATTATTTGTAAATAAAGCATCTATAAAAACGATTAAATATAAGAACTTCTTTACTAGCTTTATAAATCTTAGTTCTCTAGCAGAATTCTCAATTTACTATTAAATATACTTATTAAATACCTTTATATTAGTTTCCGAAAGTTTAATAGCTTAAATAGTAATTAATAGGTTATATAAAGCTTCTAGTTAATAGACTAATATAATATATACTTCTCTAGTATATTAGGTAATATATTGGTTTTTAATAGAAAGATCTTAGTAAATAGTGTTTTTATTACTTGTAATAATAGTATTCTTTATAGAAATAATTCGGAGGCTTTTATACTAGTATTCCTATATAAGAGTAATTCTAGTAGTATCCGTATAGATAATATCTCTATTAAACTTGAGATTATAGTCAGAAGTAAGGTATTTATACTCTTTAGCTAAGAACTTAGCCTTATAGAGCTTTAGTTACTCTGCTTTTATAAAATTATTAGTTTTAATAAACAGGATATTATTAGTTTAAAGGCTAATAATTCTGAAGAGTTACTTACTATAAAAAAGGCAAGAGTTATAAGTTAACTGTTCTATAGAAAGCTTATTAATATAATAAGAATAATAAGTCTTAAACTAGTAGTTTCTAGCTTCCGGTATATTA